AGACTAGAGTGGGTTCAAGAAACCACGCTGTGCATGCTCAGAGATGCCTTCTGGGTATTGTGCTTCTGGAAAATGCTTTGGTCACGTTCTTGTCTTGCAAGAAAGGTCTCCAGCTTTGAATGTGTGGAGGGAGGAAGCCTAGAAAAAAAGGCTGCGTCAGCCAGCACTGAGTGCAAACCTTTGAGCTGAGCGATCTTGTAGCTGCTGCTGGACTGTGTGGTTGTAACTTGGAATGCAACTGAACCAAACCTTATAGTGGTGATTTCATATATTTTATTTGTTAGTTTGTTAGATTTTAACCCCCCCCCCATTAGCCAAAATGGCCCTTGGGTGGGTTACAAAATACAATATATCAACAACAATAACAACCATACATAATAAAACATGATATAAATTATATACAGCCTCGGGGTGCAGGATCAGCCTCAGAAGTGGTATTCTCACCCTAATAAACTTTTGCGCAAATCAAGCCTCCTTCTTGTGTGCGTGTGTGTGTGTGTGTGTGTTGTCATGCCATTAATTTTTATGAAAGAAACAGAGGGGCCGGGGCATATACTACTGAAAGAAATTTACTAAGCTAGCATTCAAAATAATACACCACCACAATGAAAGGCAATAGGAGGCCAATTAACATATGCATCTCAGTATATATACTTGGAAGAGGGCAGCCAGTTAAAAAAGGAAAGGAAGAGTAGATGGGAACATTTTTTGCATGCACCTAAAATGTATGCTGGTACACGTTTTAATTCCAGGGGCAAAATATTGCACAGGGCAAATGTAACTACAGTGATGATTCTATCCTATGCATATCAACTCAGAAGCCGATTCCATTGAATCCAATGGGACTTTCTCCAATTAAGTGGCTAGGGGATTGCAGCTTCAGTGAATCTTTCTGAGTGGCCGCCAAATCCATCTACAAGTAAAGGCCACTTATAAAGGCTGAAGGGCACGGCCTTTAATTATAGATTATAGAAGGGCTGGGTGATGATACAAGTGTGCAAATAGTCTAAACAAACTGATTGCTTCCTAAAAGAGATAATCAGGTTGCTGTCACATGATTCAAATCATATTCTGCTTAAACCATCATCATTATTTCTATTTAAACCATCACCATTATTTCTATATTTACATCTATACATCTGAGCTGGCTTAAGCCATTTCCACGTGCATGTGTGCTTTCTTTTGTCCACCTTTAAAGCGACGCAAGTCCTCTTTTTGGCACTTTGTGAATAGCCACCTCAGCAGCCGTTGGCGTCCTTCGCTGTGACAGGCGTTGCAATCAGCTTCCCCTCCAGCCTACGGGAGATGCAAACGGCTTTTCTCTCAACGGCCTTGTGAGTGACAGCTTGACCTTCCTTCTTGCAGTCTCTTGGGGCAAGGGATAAAAGCATTCTTGGCTAGCGAAACTAATTTCCAGGTAACCAAGCATGGGCCATTGCTTCCAGCAGTTTTCCTGCAAACCAAATAAAGGGCACCTTTTGTGTCTTTTGACAGGAATAATTTAATGCTAAGGTCAATTGAAAATCCAGGGTTCTCAGAATGGATTTGCACTCAGGTAACCGCTAAATAATTCTGTGCCAGGTTTTGACACTGGAGGCAAATGACCAAGAGAAGATAATCACACGAAAAAGAACTTTTCTCCTACTTCAGAGGTAGAAATTCTGGGTGTTCCAGTTGGACTACAGCACCCATAACATCTGACCATTAGCTATACTGACTGGGGCTGATGGGAGTGGCCATCCAAAGCATCTGGAAGGTACTGGATTACTTGCCTATTAAAGGTGAATAAATATTGATATTCTTCAGATGTATTTTGAGAATAGCACTCATTCCAACGGGTTACAGATTGATTTTATTCCAAAGTATAAAAAGAAAAGAAAAAAGGAGGGGGGAGGACCAGCTCCTTAGAAGAAGATAAATGTGTATTTTACTGTGAAGTTCAAGCCTCATACCCTATTTATCACGGATAATGTAATTTCACAGAATGTTCCCAAACACTCCAACTGCTCTGGATACTGGAATATTTTCTTCCGTGACAAAGAGCAGCTTGCTGGAAGGATTTAGAATGGGGACTTCCCGCCTGGTGAAATTATTACCACTGATGAGTTCAAGTGCTTTACCCCAAGTCTCAAGCTCTGAGTAATTGCAATACATTTCTGAGTCAAGTCTCTTCTCAGGTCTCAAGAGTCAACTTCAACTGAGAAAGGGAGGTGATGCCGGAGTGCGTGAGGGTGTGGGACACATACAACCTCCCCCACCCCTAATGTTCCCATCTGACCTCCTTAGTGATGCACTTTAGTCCTTTATGTCAACTGCAATTTATTTAAACAAACACATTCCCTCCTGCCACACAGTAAACTCTGGAGCAACTAGTTGGTAAAAATGAGTCGAGTCACTCACTCTTTGCTCCTGAGTTCAAGCCCTGGTTGAGTCACTGATGTGACTCATTGCTCCCGAGTTGAGCCCAAGTTGGGTCGGACTTGAAAGTGAGTTACTATAGTCCCCAGCATTGCCTCTCTCGAACTCTGCTCCCTGCAGATACAAACAGGGTGGCTACAAACATAAAGGGAACTTCTCATGGATCTCTTCTGTCTTATCTAGCTCAGTCCTGAGCAGCAACAGAAAGTTTGTGGTCCAGCTCTTGGGAGGAAAGGAAATAATGAGTTAGACCCAGACAGTCCTATCAAAGAGCATCACCCGTACATCATGATTTAACTTACTTCCCTGCTGGGGATATGACTAAGTCTGGATACAACTAATTCTCTGTTTGGCTGGCATCAATACCTCAGGGTATTATTTGGCTGGCATCAAAACTGTAGGGATAGGAGATCAATTAAAACTGGAAATCCCAGTGACAGAGTGGTTGATAAAAGGTGAAGAGGCCTTGTGAAACAGGAAGAGGAGGTAAGTGATGAAACAAGTGTATTAGTATTGTTTATTGTTACATTTCTATAGCACTAGTAGCTGAAGCTCTCTGGGTAGTTCACAGCATTTTAAGTTCTCCACCCAGATTTCAACCAGGTTTGACCTTGCTTAGCCTCCAAGATCAGGTACTTCAAGCTTTATGGAAGCTTAAGGGCTTAAGAGATAGCAAGATGGAGATAAGTACGGACTAAATTCTATCAGAGTTTTGGCTGGTTATAGAGGACAGTTTCGTGCAAAGGCAGTTCCAGGGCCAATCCTGGGCACCTCCCAATACATTTGGAGAAACCCAAATCTGAAACCCTGGAGGACTGTCCCTGCTCAGTGCCGAGACCAGCCTTTTCCCACCTGGTCTGCTCCAGGTGTGTTGGACTGCAACGCTGAGCTTTCCTGAGGGTGAACTGTCCAGCACACCTGGAGGGGGCTAGACCATGGAAGGCTTCTCCAAATGTCTCAGGCAAGCATGCCTCCAGGACTCCATCTGCCTCAAAAGGTGAGCCTGCTTGCGTTCATTCATAAATTTGTAAGTAAATAAATAAATAAAGTCTCATCACAAACCAGCCAGCCATGTCTATTGTCCCCTTGTTTAAATTAGGAGCATTTTTCTTGGCTTCTGACATGACATACCAGTGTACACTTGTCCACAGCATGGTATTTAGTGGCCCAGTCTTTTCCTTAAAGATGTTTTAAGAGTTTGGCCAACAGACTGTTGCTAGATCATGTATGGTCATAGCATATGGTTGTATGGTATATAGTATATGGTAAAATATGTGGTTATATCATATACATGCAGTAGGCAAAACTTCCTATGTCTTAGACTTACATTTGTGAATGGTGTTTCTGAAGGCCATTCAGAGAAGAGGCTCTTTTCTGAAGGGCCCTTTAAGGGGGTGCAAGTAATCATAACAGGGGCATCAGAATAGGAGCATTCCCAGAGTCCTGGCCACTGACCGGCTCTGGACTTCTTCAAGCAGCCCAGCCAGGTATCAACACCCACCTTTCGAGGAGCTTCAAGACACTGAAGAGGCCCCAATTCATTTGCAGCACAAGCAGCATCTCCAGCTATGGCTGCATTAATGAAAGCATCGACATTTTTAGACTCTCCAAGTATTCCAAAGCACAGCGAGTGGGTATTTTTCTTTGCTGGAATTCCCCCCCCCCCTTCACCCCATACACACACTCTTATACACATGCACCAAAAATGCTTTCCACCTGTAGGGAGGAATTCAATGTTTTGAAATCTTCATCTCAGGTTTTGAAGCCTTTTACAAACAAGTGTGCAAGGCTTTTGCTCTGAATACAAGGAGGGTGAGTACCCGGAGGAGGGCCTTCTCTGTGGTGGCGCCCCACTTATGGAATGCGCTCCCCAGAGAGGTCCGCCCGGCACCGTCGTTATTTGTTTTTTGGCGCCAGGCCAAGACCTTTTTATTTAAATGATATTTTAATAATTATTGATATTATTTATTGGTTTTAAATTTTTAGCCAGGATGAATCCAGTTTTTTTAGGTACTTTCTGTATGATTGTTTATTTATGATGTTGGAAGCCGTCCCAAGGCTTATGCGAATGGGACGGCATACAAAAATTCCAAATAAATAAATAAATAAATAAATAATTGTGAAATTAAACCAAGGATTCTTGCAACAGACTGTGAATCTGACCCTCAGACCTTGGTGCTCAGTGACAATCATCCCTCGATCACTAATTACTATCATATTTTTCACAACAGGCTGCATAAAGGAGAGAAAAATATTGAAAATTGTTCCAGAAGACAAGCAGACAAATGAAAAATAGACCAAACAGATAAATGCAGAAATTCACTTTATTTTCAGTATACATTTAATTTTGAAAAATATAAATGCTAAAATATTTCATCTTCTTCATTTCTTGATTCCAGAAAAGTTACAATATGAAAGCCTCATAAAACTTTAAAATCCTGTAATTTTATAATATGGAATTTCATGATTTTACTTTTCATATTACTGGGAAAAAACCATTCCACAATTTGAAATGCTTTCTTGCTTTTAGTGAAAACTTCTCCTGTTTGTTCCACTGTGTTGATCTTCATTTCAAAATAAAGTAGCTGTTTGTTTTTTAATATCATTCCTCCAAAGCAAATACAGACTTTTAATGGTTTTAAAACAAGCAATAACAACAAAAACAACAATAACAATAACAATAAAAAGTATCTGAAAGTGCATCTTGATTCTGAGAAATAATGCATTTGCATATTGTATCAGTGAGGACTAAAGAAATAAGAAACAGGAAAGGGGACAGGAAGAGTGACAGGGGGACAGAAGTTCACATTGTAGGTCTGGGACTATGTTTTTTTCTGGCTCGCTCCAATGTCCAACCCTATTAGCCCTGAGCAGGTATCTCTTTGCCAAGTCTGGCTATCAAGTTGGTATAAACAGCAGGCCTTCATAAGGCTCAGTTAGCCACTCGGAGGGGCCACGAAGTGGGCAACTCCACGGCTCCTGAGCAGCATCCGGGGAATCGTTGGATCCCAAGATCCAAGGTCAGGAAAGAGCCCCAACATGGAAGCTGGGGATTCACTCTGATTCCCCTGCACTCACTCACCTCAGCTGGTTCTCCAAGGACATCACGTCTAACCCCGGAGGTGGGATAAAGGGGTGTACCGGCAGGAGACCGGTCCTGGCAGGATGCTGGTGGGGCATCAGCCTCCCCTCCTTCTGCCCCCAAAGCCCCTCAAGCTAGACAGCCAAAATCACCTGTGGGAAGAGCCGGCAGCCAGTTCTCCCAGTATTTCCCTCTCCCTTCACTGGATGCTCGTAAGCCTTTGAGTTGATGGAATTATGGGCAGCCCTGTTGGATCGGGCCCTCCTTGGGCTCCCTTTTCTCTCCCCATCCTTTCTCTTCCCCTGCTGTTCCAGAGGCTGCCACAGAGGCAGAAAAAGACTAGAGTCACCCCCTCCTGGTCCAAGCGTCCAATTTAAATTAAGCACACCTCTGGCCAGGATTCTCTTTGGACCCAGAGGGGCCAGTTGTCCCAGCCCTGCCAGTGCTGGGATGCACGTCTGAAATGCTTTTGCCCTGGCAATGAGAGTAACCCGAACATTCAGCTTTATACCAGAAGCACCAACAGGGGTCGCCTTTCTTTTCAGCGTAATGCTACCCCAAACCTGGCCACCTGGTATCCCCACGATACTGGTACATGAGCACCAGCTGAGAAATCAGTGAGGCTGCATGCAGGTTTAGTAAGACCCACGCAGAGGAATTGGGGCCCTTCGGCCACAGTCCAAAGAGTGCAGGCAATGCATTCTGCACGTGCGAACAGACACATACTCCAACGGGGTGAGCTGGGGGGAAGGAAAGGCTTTGATAAATATACAGGAAGTACCTGAAATTGATGTCTGGAAAAGTGCACTGCAGCTCTTGGGGGGCAGGGGGTGGAGTCTGCATCCCACCCCAGATGGCAAAGCCAGTCCGCTGGCTCTGAATTGTATCCCCCAATAAATAGAGGCTTTAAGCCTATTTCGAACTTTTACTCCCTACAAAGGGAGCTGTTACAGGTTATATCCAATGCCGCTACTCCTCAAACTTGACTCTGGCACTGATCTTTAAGGAGGGTGGGAAGGAGCAGCAATTTTCAGTGCAGGGGCCTGTAGATCACATGGAATCTTCCAGTTCAGAAGATTATACTTCAACACCTGTCTCTATACTTTCACATCCGGTTCTTGCATAAAACATTATTCTGCCAGGTCCCCCATGGTCTTAAAAAGAGAAACGTGGTAACTACTGTTCTGAGCCAAATGACCTCAACAAGCCCCTTTCCATAAGCCACACAGAAAGTGCTCCTTTCCTACAATGCAAATATCTACACTGCTATACTACTCTACATTACAGCTCTATGGTCATTCTGTCATTCCAGAGAATTCTGCAATCCGGGGTAGGGTGGGTAAGAACAGGGCAAGGGAAGGGACATGGAACCCCGAACACAGAATTCTCTGCACCTCACCAAACAGCAAGTCCCAAGATCCTTTGTGAAGTGAAGCGGTGACAATTAAGCTGGTATAAAAAGAATCATCTGTAGATTAAGCATACCTTTAGTGCTAGAAAATCTTTCTTTTTAAATAAATAAATAAACCACACAGCCAAGTGCTGCTAATGCCAGGAACTCATGAAATGCAACATCTCTTCTCTGCACCCGCCCTCAGACTTAAGTGGGATAAATGATGGAGAGAGAAATCTTTCTCCACGCCCCACAAACAATGCTGGGCCTCTACACCACGAGCCATCCAGGTGCAAAGTCATCAGTTAGCCACAGCGGAGGGTTCAGGAGTGAGGCAGCCTTGTTGGGAGAGACTGACCACCAAGAACTGACAGAAGGGGAGGTATATGTGTGCGTACACACACGTGTGAGCATGGAGATGCTACTTGCCTGCATCTCAGAAGTATCGCTGCCGGTGCCAACATTTCCTGCCGCCTTCTGCGCTCTTCACTTTTGCTTTTGGTGGGAAGACAGAGGTGCATTCAAATAAAACATGCACCTGGTGGGCATGTCGTGAGCCGGCTGGAGCCGGGGGTCAGACTAGATGGCCCGGGAGACCCCTTCTGACTCGCTCTGTTTCTATGTTTCTAAAACCGGGAGAGGAATGCCCTTCTGCCCACACTGCACAAGCTTGCTGGGGCAGTATCCTGCTTCTGCCCTGCCTGAGCTGCAAGCGGACTGGGGGCTGCAAGGTGTGCCTTGCTGACTGATGCAACGGTGGAGCTCTCCCCTGAGTCGCCAGCGTGGCAAGATCCGAGAGGGAGGCGTTTCACTGCTGGGTAAAGCTAACCTTGTTTGCAAATGTTGCTGCAAAACGACGCACCGTCAACCCAGCTGGTCCAAGTTTGGAAGTGCATGTAGCACGCCCCACATTATCTGAACCGCCTACTAAATTTGGGGAAGTGGTTGGGAAAAAGCCAGGTGCTTTCTTAAGAGGACCTTTGGACAGACACTAATGTCCTTTGCACCTTCCTGCAACCGTGTGTCTAAAGAGCTTTCGGAGAACAAACGAGCGCATTTCCAATGCCGAATTTAACAGCAAACATCTGTCGATAGAGCTGTCTATCGCTTCAGCACCAACCTACTTCTAGCCCACTAGGCAGTACCTACAAACACTGTTCAATCTGGTGTCAAATTCTCTGTGCAGCAGAATTGTGCAAGGCAGCTCTCCCCAGACTACAGATTGCATGTGGCAAGTCGCTGATGATGCACGAGGAGTACGAAGGGGGGGTGGGAATCTGTCAGATCCCCTGGACCCCACTCCCTGCACTCTGGTGCGCTTTGCAGAGGCCCTAAACTGAAGTTCCTGGTGAGCGTGCCCAGAATTTGTGGTGCAGCGTCCAGGAATTGAGCCTCACACACCTTGCAATCAGCCTTCCTCTGGAAGGCTAGTTGTTGGAGCTGCCAGGAGCGGCAAGTGCTAGCAGGACCCTGATTCTGTGTCCAGCCGCTGCAACAGAAAAAGCTGACGGCTGCGCAACTGGGTCTCTGCAAGCATTTGCCAGCAGCAGGGGAAGTCCACAGATGCTAGAGGGGCAGATTCCAGTAGGATCTGTCCCAGCCCCAAGTGTCGAACTTTAATTCTCCTTCAAACAAAACCTCCCCTCCCTGCAACGAGAATGCACATCGGAGAAATGGCTAGTTTATAAAATTCCTTATCAATACAGTACATCTCTACACACGCTGTTGTGGGGGACTAACCCATTTACACGCTATCCACATGCCGAATAGCCCAGATGACGATGAATGGAGGGTCTTTATGGTGTCGAGATGGCATGAAAAGAAGTCTGAGACCCCAACAGAAGTGATGTGATATGAATCCAGGCCATGTGGACGCAAAAACTACTTCGACTCTGCGTAAGGATTTGCTAGGCCAGCTAGGCTGTGCAGACTGAGAATTAAGGCTTTAAAACCACCTCTTGTCCCACCGTTTCAGTCCATCCTATATTAAATCTGCAGGTGTGACGATACACACACGCACACACACACACGTGCACACATGCATGCATGCATGAACACACTTGATGACAGACAGGGAGCATCAAGTTCATATAACTGAAATAACACTAACAGTACTGGACAGAAAAATCGACATATGACTAGTGTCTGTGTTTGCTCATTCCTATTTGAAGGTGATTCACATGGAGTTACCGCTACGGATTCCCTGTTCATATCAATGGGTATGAGCAGGAGCTCTGCAGAAATATCGGTGAGATGAATGGAGGCGGAACAGCAGCATGATTGGTGGATTGTACCAGTCGTGTTTAATTTAAATAGATTCCACCAAATTATGTGACAGCTAAAGCACAGGTCTTGACTCCTTCATTGTGTAGTCTGATTGTTAAAAATAAAATGCAAACTGAAGGAAGAAAGGAAGGAAGGAAGAATGAACAGTAGGCATTTCCCATGGAAAGTGTTATTACAGCTGATTTCAGTTCTATGCCCTATACCCTTGAGATTATGTATTTTTCTGTTTTTTGTTCTTTTTGTAAAAATCACATTATATAACATACTATACAATTATTATTATTATTATTAAACCTTTTTTCTTATTTTTTATCTTTTCCTTTTTAAAGAGAAAGTCCAACATCTAGAAATAAGAGGTAGAACTACTCAAAAACTATGACATTTCCTGCTGCAGGAAAAACAAATTCATTTTCTTTACAGTAATTTTTTAAAAAATGGTTAAAAAATTGACAAAAAAAACGCAAGTTGCAGGTTAGGCCCCCATAATTAAAACCAAGAAATACTCTAGGAAAAAAAATAACACTTGTCAATGCATCCGACAGGTTAAGAATCCATTTAACGTGTTACAGAATAAAAGTTGCATAGGAAAAGGGTTGATTCTGCACATTCAGTACAGTTATATCCAAAAAAATCTTTCTGTGCAGGGCTGTACCATTTTTGTTTCTGTTGCTGGATATTACAGAAGCAGAGGCGATGTCAAGAGTGTGTTAAGATTAGCAGCTTTTTGCAGGCGTGAGAACTATGGGGGAACTCGCCTGGAGGTCAGTTTTGTTCTGCTAGAGAGAGATTTAAAAAACAAAACAAAACAATATCCCAAAACAAAAAACACTGATTCACAACTAAAAAAAAATAACAGTTTTGCGGACAGTTCACAAAACCATGATAATATATCCTTAATACTCCCCTCACTGCTGAAAAACTCAAGAGGAGGTGTGTATGCACATGACTGAGAAGGCAAAACCGAAAAGAAGTGTCTTGGTCAGAAGGAAAGAATCAAAACGGACTGAGCAAGAAAATGTACAAGCGGAGCTGAGAAGGGTGGGGGGAACCGGAGTAAAGCCTAAAAGAAGAGGAACAAGAATACATCTTGCTTTATCTAGGCAGAGAGCAGTTGAATATTTGGCTAGTCTTAAAGAAGAAAGATGAAAAGAAAAAACCCAGTTTGGTAGACGATTAACAAACAAGTTACAAAGTAGTTTCTGTTCCCTTACTCCTCCAAAAATAACCACTCTCTTCAGGATCAAGCTCTATTCTAATTTGAGGCACGACTTTCATTGGAGTTCGTGGAGGGCTGGGGAGACAAAGAGAGCAGAAAGAGAAAGAACTGAGAAAACAGAATTTATACTCTCAAGTTAATTTCTTACATCCAGGGCAGGGCGGGATTTGTCATTATGCTCAGGAAGTTCTGCAGAGGTGACTCTCCAACTTCCAAGTTAACAAGAGCCCACTCCTTGACCTTGGTGGAAAAAGGCAGGCCAAGGGGCAGTAAACATTTGAAACATGAAGGAATATAGGACTGACTGCCTAACAGGGAATTAATTCACCACAGCTCTTCTTAGGTTCTTATGACAGATACCATTGCAGCATACATGGACACTTGCTGGAGTAAAACCACCATCAGAAAGAGCCACAAATCCTTAAGTTTCTAATGGAAGCGTCATGTTTCTGACACCCTTGCCTTCGGCAAGCTAGACTTGCTTCCTTTGTCGGTAACATGGATGCAATATAATATCAGCCAGCCTTACAAACTTCCCATGATAACAACAGGATTATGCATGCAAACCATTTTGGAAACATGAAAGTAAGTGCAAGAACCTAAAGTCATCATGGGATTTGCACGGAGCACTGGAATACAGGGCACAGTCTAAAGAAAGGGATTTCCAGAAAGGAACCTAAGCTGGGGAGAAGCGTGTCACTTACCCATGCTGTACGACACACAAATAATCACTGTGCCAAATAATAATGGTACCCCTGGAAAACTGGATAGAGCATTGTGGATTTGGTAAGGGAGATCTACCTCAAATTCTTCTGGAGTTCATGAAGCTCATTCGGTGAGCTTGGACCAGGCCTGCTCAAGGATTTCATTTTTGCTCACGAAACATGTGAACGTATTTGAAGATCCAAGTGCAAACATGTTGCAAATTTAAACATCTTAAATTACTCTCGCCTCACCTGCATGATACCCTGGTTGCTATCGCCCTACCAAACATTATCACCATATGAGAGAGTCCTAACATTTCAGAAAGTATTCTTTCTTGCTTTGTTGACTCCAATCATTTTATGAAAGTGCCAAGCTTCACTAAATTGTTAGCTTCCGGGTCTCAGCTTTTATTCTTGGTATGACAGCATCGAAACACACTTTCACTGGCACATAGAGTACAAATGAGCAAAGAGGTACCTCTGCACTGGGGTTGCAACCAGTCCTCCCAGACTGAGACCTGTGTGCATGTTTTGTAAAAAGTACATGTGTTCAGATCATACAACTATAAACATGCTTACCTTGGCATTGCGTGGGAGTGGAGGTAAGGAATTTTATCAGCATGATGTATGGCGTTCAAGGAATGTTGGTGATTTTTCTCCTGTATTATAATCAAAAAATATGTGTGTGTTGATTTCAGAAACGCTAATCCCTGCTTTTCTTTAAAAACTAAAATAATCCCTTGTGTTATGCTCATCAGTCACACTCTTCTGCCCTGGTCTCTGCAGAACAAAGCTAATAAAATCCTCAAGCCATTCCAGACAAGTGTCCAAAGTCAGAAGGTCGCAGCTAATGAGATGGAGTTATTTATGGGCAATTAAATAAGTGAAATGACTTTGATGTTTGTCTGCATCGTGCCTAGGGGAAGCTCAGATTGGGTGGTGGGTGGTCACCACCACCAATGGCCAAACGAAGAAACTGCAGGATAACCAGCCAGGAAGTCATGCCCCAGAGCAGCCGTATTCTCACGGAGATGCGCACCATGCAAGCAGTCTACATTAGAATGAAGCTTTGCATATGTGGCGTCCAGGAAATCCAACACCCTGCTCACCCTTCTTTCCCACATGAATGTGTGAAGAGTCTGAGAAGGCAGCCATTAAATTTGCCTGCCCCTCCTAAGATGGAAGCAGAAAGCTCCACTCACTCTGGATGCTGGAGAGAGGTAAGGCTACTTCCGTTCGGGCTGCATGAAGCCTTGCTATTGAGGAATGACCAGTTTGTATATATTTGCAGTCAAACGTGAACGCTTGGTAACCACCATGTTTGGCCCAGCATCAAACACCTCCTCCAGTGCTCAATACAGATGGGCATTCTCTTCACCCTGCCATTTATGTTTTGAAATGTGCCTTGCATTTATCCATCCGCTCAGCCTCATCTTCTTTCCTGAAATCAGTGTGCCCACGAAACCTTCTTTCCTGCCCAAAGCGGACAGTTTGTATGTGCTTCTCCCGACATGTAAGGAGCAGGAGGACTGAATGACTGCAACAGGACAACAGCTCAAGCACAGAGCAGCGTTCGAATTAGGAAAATAGATGGGTTGGATTCAAAAGGCCCTGAGCATCTGTGACCTGGATTTCACAGAGTTCCAAACTTAGAATATGCTATACGGGAGCCCCATGAAGTTAAGAGGCCAGTGAACATGCAAATGTTGTGTGAATACAGCATCATCCTGCTGAATGCTTCCTGGATCTACTTCTTTGGGTGACAGGACTCCTAGGGTCAACCTGTGTCCGGTTGGGCCACACTCCCCTTGAAGACTCAGGTTTGCAGGTGTTCATGGTGGCCAGGAGTATGGCTGCATAGGTAAGGCTGCGATGCCAACTACCAGTGTGGTGCAAAAGAGGTGGTGTGGTATAGTGGTTAGACTGGGACTCAGGAGACCTGGGTTCTAGCCCCCATTCAGCCATGAAGCTTACTGGGAGTTTGGGGCCAGTCACAGACTCGCTGCCTAGTGTACCTCAAAGGGTTGCTGTGAAGATACCCTGGACAGCAAGAGGGTTCTGCAACCCAGTTTGGGTTCTTTGCAAGAGGAAAAAAGGTGAGACATCAATGTAATGTGACATTGATGAAAATGATAATGATGTTTCCATTCCTGGAGATTCAATCTGGCCACTGGTGACACGCGACTTGGTTACATCCCATAAGAACTAGTGAAACAGGTTCTACATGGGACTGCCATCGAAGCTCGGCTGGCCCAGAAAGGCTGGCCAGTTACAGGGAGCACGAGAAGCCCTTGTTGCCACAGCTGCACTGCCTATATGGGCCCAATTCACAGTGCTGGGGGTGACCTGTACGGGTGGGCAGTCGGGTGGGTTCTGCACATGTCACCGGGCAGGAAGAGCCCTGGAACGCTCTGCAAATTTGACTGCAAATTTTGGAATGCAATTCTCTCTTGGCTTGTCCAAAAGCACAGGAAATACAAGCTGGGTGAATCCATTAACTTATTGCCTGGATGTTTCTAGTTTTTTATAAATCTATATTGTTATTTATTTGTTGGAAGCCGCCCCAAGGCTTATGCGAATGGGATGGCATATAAGACTCCCAAATACATACATACATACATAGTAAAAACCTGCCACAACCACAACCCTGAACAGAGCACATTTCTCCTCCAGTGGCAGGCCAAGCTTTTGGGGGCCTCTGAGCAATGAGCCCCCTACCTCCCTCTCTTCCCACCGGTACGGTCCCTAGTCTGTTTCCCCTTCTCATCACGGCCACCGTTTGGGTGCCTGATGTGCCAAGAACCAGTGAAGAAGTGGGCAGAGGCACACTACTCTAGAACCTCCCACCACCGATGATGTCTCACCCAACACTGGGCTAGCATTTAGGAACACAGCAAGACGGATCAGAGCAGAGACTCTGGAAGACACGAAGACAAGGGCCCTGGCCTGCCGTTGTTACTCACCACGCCGCCTCGACTCATGCAGGTCCCACAGGCAGCCTCATCATCCATGCATTTGTCCCACCTCCCGCTGAAGCTCTCTAAATTAGTAGCCATCGCTGCATCTTGCAGCTGGACTGACATGGTCCCACCCTTCCGGTAAGAAAGAAGGGATTCTGGGCCATTCGACACAAGAGCTGTTCGTAAAAGATGTGTCCTTTGGCTTATGTTTGCAGAGAGTTAGCTGTCTGTACGCCACCTTCCCTCTGATCCCACCCTTCCAAAGCAAAATACCATTCACCAGTGAGCTCCGCAGGATTCTACCTGTTCGGCAAAATACACACTGGACCCCGGGAGATGCTTCACATGCCATTCCCTTTGGGACCCCACACTTAGCAAGGAAGTTAAAGCAGCAGAGAAGGGACAGAGGAGTAAGTAAGCAGAGGTGCTGTGTTGTTCGGAATGAAAAATACGATCACGTCGTGGGTATTAGCACAAATCTGAGATTGGGCAAGAAGGAAGTGAATGTAACCCAAGTCACCTAAGAAAAAGACAAGCATGTTAAGGGTACTAAATGGTTTGTTCATAGGATGATCCCTTAAAAAAGAACATGGTGGACAAATATTATGTGTAAGGTTGGATCTAGGGTAACTGAGTACAAATCCTACGGAAGAAAACACAGCAAAAGACAGTTCTGCCCGCTTCTATAGTCTGGAAACCAGAAAATTAGCCAGCAAGGAGGAAAACTAAAAGAAGTCATTAGAGTGAGTTAGAAGGTACATGCATACACATGTGGAACAGAATAGATAAATACTGGGCCAGAAATGGACTTGATGATTTGGAGGGTTAGCAGAGAGCGAGTGACAGAGAGCGCTAGCAAGTGATCTGTAAGCAGCTGGATAAAAGCAATCAAAAGTGGAGGCACAAAGAAGAGGAGAAAAAGGCCAGGGGGCAAGGAAACTCACAAGATATATATTTTAAAAGCAAAAATATGTTTATAAGCCAACAGAAGATGTACATGCTGCATAAAAAGCCTGTTTAAAAAAAAAGGTAAGAGGTAAAGAAAAAAAGAAACATCTACAGACAAGTTCTTTTAAAAAAATCAATTAATATTATAAGTATATATAGATATATAAATGCATATATCTTTCTATATCTGCTTTTTGGAAGTGCAATTCAGACTGAAGCAGGCATGCAAGAGGTTAGTTCTACTCACTGTCGGAAGGTTTGCTATCACTTAGGAAAGGTTCGTGTTCCATGATGTCCATTGGAATTTTAATACTTGGGACTTTTTCTGAGTAGGGGCAGTCGGACTGTGAAAGAAACGTGCACAAAACTGCTTAGAATGTTTCCATCTTGCTCGCTCGCTCGCTCGCTCTCTCTCTCTCTCTCTTAGTATCCCCACAGATGATCAGCACAGAGACCAGGGCAGTGCTGGCATTTCTGGGTTTCCGCACCCATTTGCTGTGTTTTTAACTGCCACGCTGCACTCAGCAGCACATTTATCAGCTGGCAGTTAAAGAAACAGCCACACAAGGCATTTCAATGCACTTGAGGGTTGTTCAATTTGCAAATGCACCATTGCATAACCCTGGGAACATCCGGGACAATACGGATCAGTACCAATTTCTGTTACTGTTGATTACATGTAACCTTCTATTCCACCAAGGAGATCAAGGCAGCTGCAAGGGATCATGAGCAGTTTACTCTAGAGGAGGTCTATAAAGGCATACTACTCTGCAGCTTTAATGTGACCAAAACAACAGGCTTCATAACCATTTCCTGCTCCAGACAGGAAGCAAAAGGAAGGTTTCTGCAGCAAGAATTCCACACTCCATCCTGGTGGTGTGAGAGCTGTACAGCAGGGTGGGGAGTGCTGCACCCTAAAATCCCTTCTCTATGGGTATTTCCCCATGGTTTCCTTCAAACTCAACATAGCCCTGAGGGACAGAATCACGTCTGAAATGCAGCAACAGCTTTTTAGAGGCAATGGCAGCCTAACCGAATTAAACAGTACCCCCCTGGGACAATAAAACAGGCAGGGATGGCCCAAGAAATGTTAATAGCTGAGGGGGAGAAATCCAAATGGTATTGCCACTAATTGCAATTGTAAGCTTGCTTTTCACCCTTTCAGACTAGCCTTTCACGACCTGGATTCCTCCAAATGTTTCAAACGTCTGCTCCCATCAGGCTTTTAGACATCTGTTCCCATCAGGCTTGGCCAGAATGCTAATAGTCAGGAATAATGGTGGTTGTAATCCAAAAATCTGAAGGGCACCAGGACTGCAAAACTGAAAGCAGAAGCTGCCCTATTTCTTACATTTCTAAGCCACTGGGAGAGTCATTTGGTAATGAAGATTTATGGGAAATCCCATTAATTGCTAAGCAATTAATTCAGGATAAGAACAATTACTGTAAACAGCCATGAAATCAGTTTTGAGTATTTGACCATTTCTCAGTTACTCAACACTGAGTAACAGCCCGAAGTTGTTCTTGCTATGCTTAAGGATAAGGCCAATTGTAGAGACCGGTTCTCAGGCAGAGTTGCTGCCACCGACATAACTTCCTTTGCCATTGCCTCTAATCCAAGTAACTTTCTAGCTGGCTTCATTTCAGGAATTATGATGGTAGGAAAAGAGTCGAGGGCAGTAAAAATAAAGCCAAGCATTGTCCCATTCTATGGTGCTCTGAGGCTCACAGGAAAGCTGATGGCAAGGCAAAGGCAGGGAGAAATCAGGACCTTGGACAGCTCCAAGCAGATCTGGCTGTCTGGAGCTCTCCAGGGTAATAGGAGGATGTTGCTGCAGCAGGAAACAAATTCACAGCTGGTTTTGAAGCCTCAAACTTCTCTGAGGCTGGAGAGAGGCATGTTCTGCCAGGGACTCATCTGCTGGACAAAGGCAGGGCTGAGTCCTCCAGCTGAATTTCACTGTTTTGCTTCTGAGGAGGCAACCTGTCCCGAGGGCTGGGGGGCTGGACAGGCATTGTACATGCAAGTGTCCCCACACTTGATTCATCTGGAACCAATAGGCAGTGTTTTGTGGTTCAGTGCTAAAGTTCCTCCTTCTTCAGCTTCCTGATTCCTGAAGCTGCCACTGGAAAACTTCCTAGAAAATGACATGCCTTGATATAGAGCGGTGGCAGTGGTGAGCCAACTGCCCTAGGATGGTCTTTCCCAGACCAGATTCTGCTCGAGGATGCCACTAGCTGGCTTCAAAAGCATGGCCTCATGGGAGCTGCCTTGTGAACCCTTCTGTAGGTTGGCTTCTGCCTTGTGGATATGGCAGTGTAGTAGGCAGGCTCCTGGCAGACCACCCGCTGAAGGCACAAAGGTTATAATGTCCCTTAAGAATGCACGGGATAAAAAAACAATTCAACACATTCTAAGGCACGAGGCTAGATTAGCATATATGTCTGCATCTGTCTGCAAGGTTCAAAAATGTGGAATTAGAATTCAAAGAATGCCACACTTCTGACAGATGATGTTGCTGTTGCTGATTTTTTTAAAACCTGGGATCTCCAAAAAGCAGAACATAATTGGAAGAAGTCAAATAATATTTTGTGCACATTCAAATAAGAAAGTGGGGAAGGGGAAACGGAATTCTAAAATGAAAGAACAGTCTGAAATAATACTTCATGGTTGCCAAGATATCCAGACCTGAGAGTAGAGTGACTGAATACACTAGGAGAAGTCACATTTCAGTAAACGTTGATAATAGAAAAGAAATAGAGGTTCTTGCAACGCAACTACTCCTGGTGACTAGAGAGAAATCATGTTGACAAGCAAGGTTCATCTCACAATACCATCCCATGGGGTCCTGTTTGTACGGACAAACATAATGTGTGAGCCGCTGAAAGCCACAATTCTTTTGACTGTAGTGAGAAAAGGTCACTGCAACCATGGGGATTTTTGTCGGCCGTCCTTCTCATCCCCTGGTGATACATCAGAACGACCCATCCAAGAAAGTGGCCAAGAGCAGACAGGGCAGCACGAAGATATTACTATGGGATAGCCCCTTCTACAGGGATCTGGAAAGGCAATGCAGAATCCACAAAATGACAAGGAACCCCTGCTGGAAGCTGCAGATATTTGAGAAAATGACCTAGACAGGCAAGGCTCATTGCTCAAACAGAAATACTGGCTCACTTTGGGTGTGACCATCTCCCTGTAGGCAGACTGTGTGTTGTACGGCCACTGCCTGGTTTGGCTGGATGCGCACAAACTTCACTTCAGGAAGGGGAAATCCCACAGGCTACTGGCTCAGGCTTCCAGCACAACTAAAAACTACACGGCTTATCTGTCAAAGGTAGCCGTTGGATGTGACGATCTGGTGCAGTCAGACAGGGAAAGAATTACACATGCCGTTGGCTAATGGGATCCCATGTCTCAGTTTGCTCTGCAGGACAGAGATGCTATCGGACGTTTGGGGGCAAGTGCTTAGAAACCACAGACAAAGGCACTCCAAATCCATATCAGATGGAATAAGGGCAAAAGCAGCGCTGCATGTACTCTGTACTGAAGTAAATTAACATCCAGCATCCTGGCAATCCCAATTCTGCATCCAGAAAAACTGAACTGTGTAACTCTTAAATAAATTTATAAATAAATAAATTTATTTTTGTTCTGCTAGTTCTAGTGAGGCATTAAGGGCCAAATAACACAGAAACCTGCCCTCTGCGGCTGCTAGGAATCTCAGATACTCCGTTGCCAGGCCTCTTCTCACTTAGGACGTGTTGCCAGACTTTGCCTGCCTCTCCCGCAGAACAGCAGAATGCTCCCAGCTCTAACTATTAAGAATCATCGAATAGAGTTGGAAGGCACCATGAAGGCCATCGAGTCTAACCCCCTGCGGTTGCAGGACACCATGTTACACCACCCCATTCAGGGGGCTGTCCAGTTTCTATCTGAATGTCCCCAGTGTGGGAGAGCCCACCACCTCTCCAGGCAGCTGGTTCCACTGTCATATTGCTCTGGCAATGAGGAAGCTTTTCCTGATGTCCAGCCTGAATCCGGGTTGTCGCAACTTGAACTGATTATTCCGTGTCCTACACTCTGGCATCAGCAAGAGGAGATCTTGACCTTCCTCTTTGTGACAGCCTTTGAGGTCCTTATAGAGGGATACCATGTCCCCGCTCAGTCTTCTCAAGGCGGAACATGCCCAGTTCTCTCAGTCTCTCCTCATAGGGCAGTGTTTCCAAACCCTGGATCATTTTTGTTGCCCTCCTCTGGACCCTTTTCTCTAGATTGCCTCAGACCTCTATGGGGAAGGCCTCCAATATGCAAGACCCTATGTACCAACCCGCCCCCTTCTCCAGGAACCCTCTTTGAAGGAAATTAGGAGCGTAGCTACTCAGGGAAGGGCCTTTTCAGTGGTGGCACCCCGACTGTGGAACACACTCCCCAGGGAGGTTCACCTGGCACCGTCGCTCTCTTCTTTTTGGTGTCAGGCAAAGACCTTTTTATTCTCCCAGTATTTTAACAATTAATTGTTTTTTATCCTGTTTTTATTACTATTTTAGATGCAGTGCGCTGTGCGTCGTTGTTATGGCTTTGTTCTTGGTTTCCTTCCTTGTCAGCTGACTAGAGACTTTTTCAGTAATGGATGGCATAGAAAATTTTAAACAAATAAATAAATAAGAACCTTCATGGGATGGGGTGAGGGGAGGGGAATGCGAGACCCAATCCAAACCTGCAAAGACCTGCTGCCACACGCTAGCCAAGGGAATGCATAAAAACTTGTGCAACGGAGAAAATGGCCTTACATCCTCGTTGTCACTATCCAGGCTGCCTTTCTTCTTCTTCTTTTTCTTCTCGTCCTCCTTCTTCTTCTTGTCCTTTTCTGGAATGATGTCATCAAGGAAGCTGAGGTCGTGCTGTGAGAAGAGGTAGTCCATGGCCTTTCTGACTGCGACGAGCGCCAGGATCTATCAGGACAGAATCCAACATTCTCTCATGGGCAAGCACTTCTGCAGGTTAAGCTTAAGTTCTTTGCCTCACTGGATTCAGAGTAAAATTCTTCTATTGCCATTCAACAGGTAAGGAGAGGGCTAAATCTATTAGAGATCCGAACAGCTGTAAGAATAAGTTTCGGTCTGGATGGAAGTTTTGACCTTCCAAAGGGCATTCCAGATGCCTTTCCCCCATTTTTCTCAATTTAGGTTTTGGGAGAATGCAGCTTACAGGCCTTGAGAGTGGGAAAACTATCTAGTTGCTTGCACTTGTTTCTAGGGGTACACGGGGGGAGACTCTATTTCAGTGGCCCTGCTGCATGGATATCCCTGTTTGGACTCCCTCTTTAGGTTGTCAGGGATGGTGAGGAGTATCCCTGCCATTGCCCGGGACCCAAATCAGAGAGGGAAGAAATGTGTGAGGAATCCATTTTGTGTGGAAAATCCACCAGGTTCTCTGGCTTTGACTTCCCCGACTCTGCCCTTAAAGATGGTCTGGATACTTCCATTGGTTCAGAATAGAGCTGCCAGGATATTAATGAGAACTGGCAGGTATTCACATATAATGCCAGTCCTCCATCACTTACACTGGCTGCCAATTGAAGTCCAGGCCCAATTTAAGGTGCAGGGGATGGCCTATAAAGCCCTGAAAGGCTTGGGTCCTTGATACATGAAGGAGCGCCTTCTCCCCTATTTGCCCTCCCGCACCTTGAGATCTGAGTCAGAGGACCTCCTCCAGGAGCACTCCTTGAAAGAGATTAGGAGGGTGGCTTCCCGGAGGAGGGAGGGCCTTCTCTGCAGTGGCACCCTGACTATGGAACACACTCCCCAGAGAGGTTCGCCTGGTGCTAACGCTTTTTTCTTTTCAGCGCCAGGAGAAAACCTTTTTATTTTCCCATTGTTTTAATATTAATTGCTTCTAATTGTTGTTTTAATATTTAATCACTGGATGCTGTGCCATTCTTTTTTTAAGTGTGCTTGTTGTAAACCGTCCCGAGACACCAGTAAAGGGACGGTCTATAAAAGCTATACATGAATAAATAAACACCTCTCTGCAGAAGCCCAGAGTCCAAGTTTCTGGTGAGTGCATCCCATGTTAGCTGGGTGCTTGCCAGCAATCAAGCGCCCACATTCAGTGCAAGTAACGCTATTCTTCCCCAGCAGCAGCAGCGGCAGCAGCAAGTGGGGAAAAGATGGATCCCCAGGAAGAGCAGCTGGTGCACCTGCTCACAGCTCCCCTCTTCTGCATCCTGAACACCACAGACCTCCTCTTGGCTCAGCTTGGTTGGCAGGACCAGGCCAAGGATGAGAGGAAGCCTGTGGATTCTGGAGGGACTATTTCCGAACGGGTTCATCCCAACCGTAGGGTTGAGAGGAAGGATGGAATGAGCCTCCATCTCTTAAAAGACTGATGGAGGGATGGTTAAGGGGCAAGCGGCAGTGGGCAGGCTGAGTGAAACAGCTCTCCTAAAAGCAGACACCTGCCTTCTGTCTCTGAAGAGGGACGGTGAAACAGTGGTGCCAGAGGGAGAATGAACTTTCTCCTAACTGCACACATTTTTCCTATCCCCCAGCAAGCATGCTGCTCCCGATTTGAACCAGGACTGCATCGCTTCAGGAGAGGAGGGCTTAGGCTCCCCACCAAACCTGTTTACACCCGGAAATTCCTGCCCCCGACAGGTGTGGGAGGGAGGGTGAAAAACTCATCTACCGATTGCACTGGAAATGAACGGGAAGAAACGTAAACCCAGCTCTCTCTGAATTGGGACCATTTGTGCATGCAGGAGTGAAGAAAAACAATCACACGCAGCTCCACTATGTGTGATTTGGAGAACATTTTGTTGGGTCCTTGTAAGTAGGAACAGAGTGACATAGTTCCCCGGTGAAGCAAAACAAAACAGAACTCAGAGTGCTTCCTACACATTCTGCTAATCTATTCCTGTAAAGTGTATTTTATATGCCTGCAAAAACTAAATGAACTGGGCAGGAAGTGGGTCACCACAAAGGCTGCAAGGGGAAGGGGGCTATGGCAAGCGAGGGGAAAATGTTGCATGAAGCCAAGTCAATCATCTATACCATCTTCATTTCTAGGCTGACTCTCCATCTCTGGTGCTTTAACCTCAAGTTGACAAACCACAATCCAAATTAATTTTAAAAGGATTTAAATTAAAATAAATGTGGCTCCGTTTAGTCATTTACACTGTGTGTTTATTTAAAGGTGTTTATATTCATTTATGCCTATGTTTCTAATAGCCAGCCCAAAGATGAAGTATGAAGAAGTCTGGGGATTAGAGAATATAAGCTATAAACTAGGCAAATGCTCCAATTATTTTTGAAAGATCACTCCCTCTACACTCCAGTGCATACTATCTTTTTAAACTTGATTTTGGAGAAATAAACCTGTAAACATCTCTATTTCAGTAGTCATATGGTGTCGCAGAAGGGATGGGTAGACCAGCAAAGAAGTACAGAGCAACTCAAAATGGCCCTAGAAGAAAGGAAGCCATGGAGAGCAGATGTGCGCCTGCATAACCTACCATGACTGGGAATATGATGGCAGCCACCGTGGACTTCAAGATCCAAAGGAGAGCCAGGCACACCACCTGGAGGAAAGTGAAGAGGTGCACCCGGCGGAGGGGGACGTGCCGCAGGTAGATGAAATCCGGCTGGTGCTTCAGAGGCATCAAGAGCAGCTTCAGGCGGTCCATGAACTGGAGAGGAGTGAGGAGGAAAGAGTTTGTTGGGACGGCCAAACACGCACCACGGCAGAATACACGGAGGGGTGGGGGTGTCTGCAGCACCTAGCTGTCGGCTCAGCAGTGCCCCAGTCTTGCTCTGGAGTCCCAGGATTCCACCCGCAAGAAGCCAAATGGGACTGCGCGGATTCTCTGTAGGGAGAGCTCCCCACAGCCCGGACTCAGGAAGAAGCGTGGCTTAGTTCCGGAGCCCAACCTTCTCAGAGCCTCCATCTCTGAACACCCACATCGCCAGCCTCTGTATTCGCCTTGCCCCACGAGCTACGTGCAACGGAAAGCAAAAGTGCTGTTTGGAACTAGACCAATTCCCAGCCCTGCGCCTTTGGGGAACACGTGATGCCAAATGCACACAGGAGATCCTGTGTGAGCTGGGCCCTCCCATTCATTTCTGAACTGGGGACAGCTGTGTGCACATCCCCAGCATGGCTCCCAGGCATAGCTCCCTGTGAAGCAGCATGCCCCTGTCAAGCCAAGCCCTACCCCTACCTAGCCCAGGGCTTGGACTCCTTTGTAGGTTACCACATCCCCACTGAGTAAAATGCACACATGGCACTCCTCTCCTGTGCATCACAGTGGGTGGACATGGAGGATTCCGTGCCGGATTCTGCGCTTGATCTGGGCAATCCACCAGATACAGGAGGCAATGATATGATAGGCCACGAGAGGCACTGCCGCCAGATCAAAGGGATTCCCTCTGTCGAAGCCCCCTGCAAGAGGAATGTGGTACCAGGGAGACCAAATCAAAGACTTGGTTGCAAAGAGGAGGAATGCTTCTCCAGTGCACCTGTGAGCGCCACCTGTGCAGCGGGATTCCCTGATACTCTGCTTCTGTGGGGACTGTGATTCCCAAATGAAAATGTTCAGATGTGCAGGGAGCTCTCCTGGTCATTCGACGTTTCGCAGGAGGAGTTCTACATGCAAAATGCAAGTGCCACACGGAAAGCATGAGCTTGGAGGAGACTCAGCTTTTAAGTGAACTGTTATCCCTGGGCTGAGAGAATCCCTTTACACCAACCAAGCTCCCTCACTCGCCTCTGTTTTAGCACTGGCCTCAGCAAAGACCCAGGCACAGACAAGCATCAACAATAAACTATTTGTACTCTGGCAGCCCCTGGCCCGCTGCCCGCAGCTGGCTGACTCTGCGACCAGATTTATCTCAATCGGATGAATGAAAGCCAGGGCCACATTAAAACGGCAAATACATCTTTGTGGGGAAACACAAAACATGCACTCTTTTTCCTCGTTAGTGCAGAAGAATAATGCCATTAAGAAGGTGCCAGAAAGTTAACAGAAACACAGCCAGCTTTTTGTGGTGTGGATTCAAGGTGCTAGGTTCCTCAGAGAAGAAACATTTCTACGGATCATTTTTTCGGTGACAAAAAAAAAAAAAAATGGGGGGGGGTCCAGCTTGGCCGAGTTTCTGCGCAGCAAGCTTCCCAGGGGCTTCTGTCAACACAACCACATCAATTCAAGCCCATGACTTCACGTCTGCCATTGGCGTTTGCACAAGTCGGTTCCTGAGCAGAGCCCTCCCAAGCGCTGCCTGCAGAAGCACATCGGAAGTTATTCTCTGGCCAGCTTCCCATGAAGCATGAGGCCAGAGCGTATCATGCTGCACTAGCATAACAGGCCAGCAGTGTGATGCCAACAGTACTGGTCCAACAGATTTTCTGAAGAAACATCTCCCATGCTCAAGCCCATGTGGCTGCACTGAGATCATTCACGTGAGCGGTCGCGGTGCCCTCCTGGATCCCGTCCCCCGGCTGCAACCCACTGAATTAATTTCGACCTTTATTTTTGTGTCTATTGTTGTTCAAATGATGAATCAAAGAGTCTCTGAGGCAAGGGCTTCTACAGGCAACCTCTTTCCATCAAGCACTATACAAATACTATAAATAATGAATAACATTAGGGGGGTCAACCTTGCCCTTCAAAGTTTTGTCATTCTGTTTGCTTTTTGCAGGAAGCGGAATAAAATTTGCAAGATCATATAAAGTCTGGTCCACTTTAATAGGTCCTGTTGCATGAGAATGGTGCAGAGGACGAAAAGGTGGAATTCCAGAAAAGCAATGGCCTCGACCTCCGGCCGCCTCCGCCTCCGTAGGAACTCACAACCCAGCGGGTGGGGCACCTTAAGAGCTCGCTAGGTCATTGCGCCACACGCTTTTGAGGTGATTAATGACCTACTTCAGATGCATAGGAAAGACAGAACTGGTTAATGTTTACTACCTTTCCTGACAAGGGGCCTTTGTAATGCTGGTTCCACCTACCAGAAGGGTCACTAAGGTTGCTAAGGAAAAAGCTTACCTGTACTCCATTAAGGGAAGCAACGCCCATGTAGAGAAACACTCCATAGAGCACAGGCATTGGAATAAACTAAAACAGGAGAGGGAGAAAGAGAAACCTGAAGTAAGCAGTTTTTTAAAAAATGAAATTCATCCACAGTTAAGCATCCATCCTGATTTACAGGTATCCATACACCCCTTAAGTTCTATACACTATTATGATTGTGATGATTCTGATTTCACTGAGAAAATCAGTTAAAAACAAAAATGCAGTTACTAATTCACCAGTAATATGTGACCATAAACTGAATGCAGAACATTTAACAAAAAAATCATGACAAAAAGCCAGGGCAGAGAATCAAGACATCATATCTAATTCCATAATCCCACAGAACATGCATACAGCTTGCCTAAAATTTTCTTAGGGTTTTGTATCTTAGAAATGGATGACAATTCTCTTCCTGCTCTTGCAAAATCTACTTCCGAATTTCCCAAAATTCAACACTGCATTTTTCCTCTGGTCCATTACTGGAGACACCAACCAAGGAACTGGATGATTTGGGAAAGAAAGCAAGGATTTACCAAATATTGTTTTGAGAGATGTTTGACCCTTTTTGGCAGCTGAGGTGGAGTCAGCCATGTGAGTTTTCCCCTTTTGGCAGCTGAGGTGCTAAATGGACCATCGTATTTGCACCGCTGCTGAATTTGGGGCCACCAGGACTGTAGGAGCTGCTCCACGAAACACTGAGTGCTACTTGCTGCTCCCCACTGGTGTAACCGTTAGGTGGAGGATTCGTGGACAAAACTCCAGGTACAATGTCTCTGAGAAGCCCTGTCTCTGGAAGGAGAAGTAAAACCCACTGCTGATTCCAAGGAATGCGCATTGTTTTCCTAGCCTCCGGCCAAGTAACCTAGAAGCCGCCTCTTGAGGACTTCACCCACTCGCCCAGTTCGCCCAATGGACTGAATGTGGTCCTCCCACTAGGCTTCAGGCGGAGTATGCCAAAAAATCAAATGACTGCTGGAGTGCAGCTCCACTTCACCCTCCTCTCTGCATGATCTGAGGCTAGGAGAGTGCCGTGAATTCCGAGGAGTCAGCATGGAATTCGAGCACCAGGACCGATGCAGAGTTAAGGCAATATTTATATTCCTAGGCACCATTACTATTTTTTTAGAAGCTAAGCACCTGCGGTCCTTTTCTGAGAGCTGTGTGAGAGGCTCCCCAGCCACTTTTTCGAGTCGTCCTTCTGTCTCCCCAACCCTGGTTTCCACAATTTTGCAGCAAGCTGTGTGCACAAACCACAGAGCTCTCCTTCATGGCCATAAGGACAAGAAACATGGATTCTAAAACCACCCTCCCACCTGAAATTCTGAGGCTTCTGCACCAACAACAACAAATGCTTCCAAATGCAGAGCTGGTACAGCACAATTCCATATCGTAACAGACAACTCACTCTAAATCACACAGAAACATGGGACACAGTCAAAGTTCTTGCTGAGAAAAAGGGATCTCATGAGCCAAATTGTGTCCCACCACAAAATGAACAGTCAAGGTGTCAGAAACCAGGTAAGGTTCCTTGCCGAGGTGCACACAGTTAACACAAAGAAGATTCTTCTGGCAGATTTGTTTCACAATCCTTAATACAGCTTATTTGCCTCTAATTATCCAAAAGAAGAAATAACAGGGATCCTTTGATGACTTACTTATTGCAAGAGGTGCAATGACAGGCAACAGCCACTAAATGGCAGGCGGGGTTCACTCTGTCTTTCTGAAGCTGCAGCAGCTTCTTCCATGGCCTTATTCTGTTTTTAAAGAGGCTTCGCTGCACAGCTGAACCAGCAAGCAAAATGCCACAGCAGAACCTTTGGGTCTGTTCTCTATTATGTCAATAATCTCTAAGCACGCTATACAGCCCTTCTCCGACCTGCAGGGGCATGCAATGAATTATGGCCAAGGTGTGTGGAGCAAAGAAAGCTCTCCACAGTAGTCACCCTGAGATGAACCTGGCCATCCACACGAGTCCAGCCTTCCCCAATCTGCTGCCCACCCCACCCCACCAATGACGCTGGGCCATGCTGGCTGGGGATAATGGGAGCTGCACTTCAATGCACCTGAGAAGCACCAGGTTGGGAATGGCTGAGCTACAATGAACCCCGAGAGCCTTTCAGTGTGCTTGCTGAAACGAGAGAAAATGTAATGCGAGCGTCCCTGTTTCGGCATGCAGAGTTGGAGCATCCCCTTCCCTCCAGGCAAGGACGTCCGGCATGTGCAAGGCTAGCCCTCCACTCCAAAAGGTGAAAACGTAGCAACCACGCGGGAAGAAGGTTTGCTCCCTGTCTCGCTTGCCCCACCAGCACGGAAATATTCCATGTGGCCACCAGTCTAAGGAACGTGATGCTAGACAAGGTGACATGCCCTCAAACTGGCCTTGAAGGAATGTCACCTTGCTGGGGAAAGACTCTGTCACTAGCAGGAAACTCTGACACACTTTTTCATGATCCTGGAAGAACTTCAGGATTAGGAGCATTAGGAGCCACCCTGAGAGTTGAGTCAGAATCTTTCTGAAAAGGAGAGAAATAAGGGGTGCCTCATTTTGGATTCAGTCCTTCTCTTGGAAAGATGCTTCTCCCACATCTCAAAGAAAGCACTACTGTGATTGATACTGCTTTGAAACCTGTTAGGATCTAATAAAGGGAGTGTGCTTTTAAAGTCTCATCTGAGTCTACCAGAGAGGAAAAGAGGAAGAGAGGAGAGTCTAATGCTAAAAATGTACAGAAGTAGCTTTAAGCACACTAAAAGGCAGGTATTGGTCAATAGATGTATTGGTCAACTTCTGAAGCTCTTCCCTTCCACAAAGCCTTCCCAGCAGGCAGGCCCCAAGGTTGAACTGGCTTTTGCAGGTTCTTCCCTACCTTCACCTTGCAGGTAGATCTCTAGCTATGTGCACCAGCAAAAAGACTTTCTGGTTGCCATCTCCGCAAAGATGTCCTGGGGGCATTTTTCCATTTTTTAAAAAGAGTTCCTTAAATCACTTTTTCTTGAGGTTCCAGTTGCATCAACCTGGCATGCAACAAACAATTTCTCACGCTATGCTCTCACGGCACTGCCACAGTTGCTAGATGCTGCCTGGATGGCCACAGGAGAGTGAATCCCAGCTTGGGCCTCAGAAACGCACTCCAGAGTCAGAGCTGGGACTCCACCCTCAGGGTGACTGCTCTGTGCTCCCAGCAGGCACAGTTCCTTTCATGCCAGCTGCAGCTCTGAGGATGAAGACCCAACCGTGGGCCAGCATTTGGTGGGTGTTCTGAGGAGCAGGGAAGAGCAGGAAGAAGAGGAGTGAGGTTCTACCAGGATACGAAGCACTATGGCACTCAGCCTGTGCTCTTTGCAAGCCAAGGCCCTAAACAGCGGATATGGGATGCTCAAGGTTTCCACAGGGCTCCTCGCAGCCTAACTAGGATGCCCACAATTTCAGAGGGGTGCAAAGTCTCCTACAGCAATTCTTGAACCTTTTTCCACCATGTGATAGTGAACTGGAGGGAACATTAATATGATGGAGAAGACTCTTCCTGGGTTCTTATTAAGACTACCAAGAAGCAATAGAAGGCGCTATCCCATCTCATCACTAGCATCTATCGGTATGCCAATGGTCAGGAATGATGGGAGTTGGAGTGCACAAGTTTGCAACCTCTGAGCAACACAGAGATGGGCCTTTTCTGCAGTAGCAAACACCCTGTGGGATGATCTCCCCTTTGAGGTACGTTAGGCTTCAGTGCAGGGATGTTTTCAAGCATTTCCTGAAATCCTATCTGTTTACTCTGGCTTCCCCCAGGAGCTCATACTAGGTGTGTATGTGAGTTGTGCGTGCATTTATATTCTTCTGTAAAACACTTCAGAGCCAACTCAAATGAGAAGTTGCCTATGAATATGTCTAGCCACTGCCATCAAGGAAGCAACTTTTCTAGGAGCTGTTCTCTGAAGCTAAAATGTCTGTTTCCTGGGTTGCGTATGCAGCAGCTGCCCTCAGAAGGGCCAAGGATAAAGACGCTCTTCGGGCCATCTGGACAACTGTTCTTCTCATGATGGGGAGCGGTGGGCCAGGGTGCTGGGTGGAGTCTGCCCAAGGCAGGTTCCCATATCCCTAGGCAGCTCACCGCCTCAACCACAGAAATTCTTGTCCCAGCCAAAAACAGAGTTTGCCAGAGCAAGGCCTTCGAGGAATGCATTCTCCACTCCTTTTTATCTTACCTTGAACTAAGGCATTACATTAGATAGACCTGCCAGCCCCAAGGAGAAGGAGAAAGTCGTTCAGAAGCCAACATCCTTAATGGAGTTGCTTTTCTGTTGGACGGCTTTTGTGCACAGTTAGCCATTTCTTGACTGTTGGCACTGCAAAGCGAAGGCCAGCTTGAGTCGTCCTACCAGCGCCAGGTGCCGATGTGGAGTTTTGCAGAAGGCACTGAAATCCTGCCGACGTGGCATCTACTGGTGTTGCTTTGGGCCACACGATTCCACGCTATAGTTTAAAATCTCCCCTCTCCACCCCCCAGAAACATCCTACAGAGCAGTGTGCAAAACAGAGCAAGTCCTGCTCAAAAATGATAATAAATAGCGCTCAGCAGGGGAAAGAAGGGGCGTGATATGCTGCAATGAAAGGTCACACACACAAATCTCTCAATGGAGGAACTCAAGAATGAAACAAACATGCATTGAAACACAGCTAGGAAAGAAAAGGGAACTCACATGCCTGATTACCTCTTCCTTTCCAAGGAAGCATATGCAATTTAATAATAACAATAATCCATCTCCTTTCACATCTCACACTGCATTGTACTTTCTCTGACATCAGTCCATATCCTTCCTAAGGAACATGTGATACGGGAGGCCCGCATCTCCCAACACCTTTTCCTTTGCCTAAAACCTGCTAAAATTACTAGGATCATTTCTGTCCCAACTGAAATCCTGCCTTTAATCCCCACTGCAAAGCTGCTGTTAGCTGCAGAGAGAGAAAACCCACAGGAACAATCCAAGCTCTTGAACCTTTCCCTGTTCCACAGTTAAGGACAGCTTTGTGGAGGAGAGGGTTAGGTTCAGGCTGCCATTTGGGAGTGGGGACTAACCCCACCCCCTGCTGTGTTGTTGGATTGCAGGAAACAATCAAGGAAAAAGGGGAAACCCACTGCAGATGGTGTGTAGGTTGGCCTCGGCATCCATTTTTTGAGGATCCATTTTTTTTAGGGGGCTGTCACCACAAATGGCTCCTCTGGGCTGGGCCTGGAACGCGTGTCAACTGGGCTACACTGGGCCGCGTTGGTGGAGATGCGATATCTGCTCATCTCTTCACTGTGGTCGAGAGATTTGGAGCTGCCCAGGGGTTCCACCTCTCTTTTCTTTTCCGATCTAATCATGGCAGAGCATTGATCTGAACTGAGAGCAAGTGCTAAACCTGGAGAGTTTTTCTTCAGGTTTTGAAGGTGGGGGCAAATGCTTGTGAAATGTTAACCTTGGTTGGCACTGCTGGGGGTATCATGTCACATGAAAGGAAAAGGAAGAAGTCCGTGTGTGTGGGGATAGGAGGGGATGGGATGGGAATTCACAGAGGAAAGAGAGCAGAAAGAAGGAGCAAGGTTCTCCTTCCCTCCTAACCATGGTTACAAAATCTGGAAATGCTCTGCCTGCCAGTAAGCAATATGTCACTGGGGGCTGCTGGTAGGTTGGAAATAACCACCAGTTTCATGGAGCTGAGCCACATAATTTGTTGTTGTTGTTAGTCATGAAGTCGTGTCCGACCCATCCCGACCCCATGGACAACACTCCTCCAGGTCTTCCTGTCCTCCACCATCCCCCGGAGTCCACTCAAGCTCACGCCGACTGCTTCAGTGACTCCATCCAGCCACCCCATCCTCTGCCGTCCCCTCCTTCTTTTGCCATTAATCGTTCCCAGCATCAGTCTCTTCTCCATTGAGTCCTTCCTTCTCATTAGGTGGCCAAAGTATTTGAGTTCCATCTGCAGTATCTGGCCTTCTAAAGAGCAGTCAGGGTTGATCTCCTCTAAGACTGACTGATTTGATTTCCTTGCGGTCCAAGGGACTCGCAAGAGTCTCCTCTAGCACCATAATTCAAAGGCCTCAATTCTTCAGCACTCAGCCTTCCTTATGGTCCAACTTTCACAGGCATACATCGCAACTGGGAAAACCATAGCCTTGACTATACACACTTTTGTTGGCAGGGTGATGTCTCTGCTTTTTAGTATGCTGTCTAGATTTGCCATAGCTTTCCTCCCCAGAAGCAAGCGTCTTTTAATTTCTTGGCTGCAGTCCCCGTCTGCGGTAATCTTGGAGCCCAGGAAAATAAAATCTGTCACTACCTCCATTTCTTCCCCATCTATTTGCCAGGAAGTGAGAGGACCGGATGCCATGATCTTAGTTTTCTTAATGTTGGGTTTCAGGCCAACTTACTAAGTTCTTCTAAATCCAGGGGGAGCAACTTGTGGCTGGAGTGGAGTTTCCACAAGCCTTACCCAGCAAAGCCAATGGGGAGGGGGTTGATGCAAGTCGGGGTCCAGCAACACTGGAAGCACACCAGTGCTGCAAGCGACGGGGGAAAGAGTTGTTAGCAGTGGCAAACTTAGCACGCAGTCTGTGTCCCAAAGGAAAACGTTCCGAAAAGGAGGCTGGAGGAATGCAGCATGAGAAGTGTGAACAGAAACGACCACAGATGATGCTTGCCTATGGATGTGTAACCCACCTCGTCCCACGCGGAAAATTCCTTACTTTCTTCCAAAGCACCCTTGAGATGAGCAGCCTACTGAGAGACACGCACGACTTAAAATATACGTACTGATCTGGGGTGCATGCGGCAAGCACGGATGCCTCCGGCCCTGGAAGCTGTTTAGCACCTCCTTTGCAAGATCGCCATCAACATCCTATTCGTGGGATGCTAAGTGTGTGCACACACTTTTCCAAAACATTAAACAAGAAGCAGATTCCTGATCCATGGATGTGTAGACAGATTTCCCGGTTATGTTATACACGTCAGGATTTATGTGAGATGCATACAGCACGCATCTAGGGAGACGTGTGCTTCTATAACTTAACCAGGGAGATGTAATAGGTAAACGGGGGGCATTTTTTTAAAGCCCTGAAAGACTATCTCAAGCAGCAACTCCTTCCATGTCAACCTGCCTGTGCATTAACTTGACTGGCGAGGGCGCTTTACTCCTTTTAGAAAGGAAATATATAGAAATGAAATCATCACCATGTACATAAGACAGGGACTTCACTGGAGCAGCTTTCTGACTTTGGAACACTCCCATGGATGGCACACCTGGAGCCAACACGGTATTCTTTTAGGCGTGAGGTTAAAGCTTTTTATTTGCACAGGATTTTTTTAAAATTCACCCATTTTTTTTCATTTTTAAAGCATCTTTTGCATAACCAGTCCCAAAAGCATTTATTCTATTACTTCCTCAAGTCATTTCTTAATGATAAGCATGTTTTTTAAAAAATCAATATTAAAATGCTGTTTTGAAATCTCCCTTTTGTTTGCCTTTCTAATACGATAATCATCTGCAATATTTAATGCAGACCAGTCACTTAAAATATATTTTCAGCATTGTTTGGTGGATGATGAGACAAAACAACATTAAAATAATATTTACCTTCAAGATGGGAGCCATGAAGACCGAAATGCCTGTCAAGATGAACACAATCACTCCAGTCACTCTCTGTTCTCTGAAATCAAACACAGCAATTATCAGACCTATTCCTCTTTGAGATCATTTGCTACTAGAAGATAATGAGTTGCATTGGAAGATATCGAGTTGAAATGACATGGAAGATACTGAGTTGCACTCCCAAAACATTTCCAGCACTGACATAAACATTATTTAAAAGTGTATTCATGTCCGCTTCACCTCGTAAAGTATGTTATGCAAATTATCCATACCCTTTAAGCCCGCAATCTTGATAACTAGTAACTGTGCTTCTAAAGGAGCCTTAAAAAAAAATAATCACAGCAGTGTGCATGACCTGTCAACATCCACTGTAAAGGTATCCAAAGTAGTTGGCACGTGCAGATGGAAAAGGTGGTGTGAAATAGCTGGTACTACGACAGCGGGTAGAAGTTGGCACTTTAAGGGAAGCAGGTAAGTCACCTTGCCAACCCCTTTCAGTTTCACCAGTTTTTCTTTCTTCTCGGGGTCTCTTTCTAAAGGTCTCAGGCATGCTGCACTTGAGCAGGCGTTTCTGCCTCAAACCATGCCCTGGGTGCAGGAGTGGATCCATACATGAGCTCTGGGTCTGGGTCCGCCAAACAGCCAGACTTAGAAATGTTCTTGGGCTGCTCCGGATGCTAAAACTGCCCCCCGCTTCCAGGCTAAAACCTGCAGGTTCCCAGGCTGGCAGATGCTCTTTGCACAAGTCACGCTGGCCCTTCAGCTGGCATCAAACAAAACTGGAGAGCATCTAACATTGCCCAAAGGGATGAAGAAACAAAGTCTAAGGACACTGAAATAGATAAATAATTTCACTCCTTAAGGCAGTCCAATGTGTTTCGGCCCTGTACTAAATAGCTGGGCCTTCAGGTCGCAATGCCAACCATAACTCTGAAGTGTCTGTCTCCAAGACGAATCCTGTAATACGGAATGCGCTCCCCAGAGAGGTCTGCCTGGCACCGTCGTTATTTGTTTTTCGGCGCCAGGCTAAGACCTTTTTATTTCAACAATATTTTAACAACTTTTAATATCATCTACAGGTTTTAATCTGCAGCCAGGGTGAATCTGGATTTTATTCGCACTATTTGTATTATGTTTATTTATTTTATGTAAGCCGTCCCGAGGCTCAGGCAATGGGACGGCATACAAAAATTCTAAACAAACAAACAAACAATTGGAGAATATTCTTTCAGGGTTCTCCACAGGCTTTCTGTAGCCCCTGAAGAAGGCTCAATTAGTTGCCATGGTGAACAACCCTCCGTTCATAATCCAGCAATGAACTGTGTGTCCTCCACGGGTTGTACATGGCTTGCAAGCTGAGGTCTGTGAGCCCAACTGGGCTCAGAAAGCTCTACCACTGAGCTGCTTCCTGCCACCCTGCAGGAGGCCCAGGTGATGGCGGCTGGGGCCAGGCCACGCTCGCTTCCTGGCTTGCCTAGTGTCAGGGCTGGCTCTGTCGGCATACCTGACTCCCAGGAACTTGGGTTGCTCGCCTGGGGCTGAGGTCTCCGTCTCCATCTTTAAGCTGTCGATGTGGGCGATGGAGATCACAGTAGCCGCAACGTACCAGGGTAAGCCCATGAAGGAACAAATGATCATCAAGACAGCCACCCAGAAAAGGTCCAAGTGGTAGCCAGCACCTTTCTGCAAAGAATGGAGAACGGAGAAAGATCAGGAGCATTTAGGATCACGGCAGGAGAAATTTTGCTTGTGCCTTTCCCTCCATAGGTTTAACAAGCATTCCAAAGCTTTATCCAGTAGAGAAGGACGCGGCAAGCCAGGAGCAAGTTCATTTCTGCTGAGCAATCTTTATATGAAGTACATCGTGTCTGTCTCTTAAAAACTTTATTGAAAATTGTAAAATTATACATCAAGATCCCGAAGCAGACATGGCATGATTTAAGGTTCCTGGTGAAGAACAGACAGGAAACCAAAAGGTGCCATGGTCCCCCATACTGAGAGCAGGTGGTACCCAGTTGACAAGCTGAGAGATCATAACACAAAGTGTTGTTCTTTTAAAAAAAAAAAGTCTATACTGCCTTTCCATCACGTGAGATTCCAGGATAGTGCACCATCTTAATATAAAAATTTAGTAACAGAATTCAGACAACACAGTGGCTTAACTGTGGATGATCATATTGTATGAATCCAGCCAAGGTCATTTTTACTCATGCAGAAACCCCCTAAACTCCACTGGGCTTACTCCTTCTGCCTGGGTTGCAGTCTTAAGGTGAATGGATACTGAGGATATTTCTTCATCCACGCTGGTGCAGGGAGTACGAATGAATATTTGGTGCAGGGGGGCACTCTGGGGAAAGGTTTACACTTTTCCTCCTGGAGCATAGAGATCCTGACCTCAACTGGGGCCACACACCCCCTCATGAAAGCAAATAAACCTCTCAGGCTTAGTGGTCTCCCGTGCAACATGTAGTTTGGCTCACATATGGCCCTGGTTCGTATGATTACAGTGGGAGAAATCAGCCATGGTGGTTTATTTCTCCCAGCACGCACGCCGGCAGGAGCTGTGTAATTATCCTCGATGGTGAGCAAAAGCAGTGAGGGTGGCTAACAGCCTTGGCTGACAAGCCACCCAGAATCTATGGGTTATTTCTGGATTGTGAACCATGGCACAAGCCACCTTCAGCAGGTTCCCATGACACAGTCGCTTAATAAGCCATTGTGGCTTGTTTCGCCTGCCATGATTGTGCAAACAGTCCAGAAAATGAATGCAAAGTGCAACTGTGAATGCAGAGTAAGACTTGAATTTGTGTTCAATAAATCCATCCCAATACGAAGGGACTATAATATGATGCAAATGTTTAGCAACTCAGAGAAAACTCTTAAAATAGCTTTTGAAAGTAACACCACCTAGGGCAGATTTTCTACAAACCCCGAAAAGAATTTCATTATCACTAGAAGTTGTGTCCCCCAACTCAACACCTCAAAATGATAATAAAAAATCCTCACAGGTATGCTAGAAGAGCTATCATTTGTGTTCCCACTTCCTGTACTATTTCAAACACCCATGGCTTCATCTGACACACCTTTTTAAAAATTAAAATGCCACCCCAATTTACCAGGTCACGTGCTCCTAAGAAAAACAACTGCTTAGCATAGCCTGCTAAGTCTCGATGGAAACAGAAAGGATTAGTTTTTATGGCACTATCAAGTTTTGAAAACAAGCAAGAAAACAGCACAACTGAGATTTCTCCTGATACAGGACTAACCGGAGAAAGACTTTTAAGAGAGCTTAAAGTGAGGCACTGCATCTCCTTGTAAATCACACTCTGCCTTTGTCCGACTGTCATTCCAACTCCACCAGTTTCACAAACAATAGCCAAACCTGCATAACTTGTTCGTAAGAGGAAAGAGCGAGGGATGCCCCACACACAGGCCAGAGTCCCTCCCTCAAACTGTCCTGACTCTCTGAAAAAGAGTCACTGTCTGTCATGCACCAGCATTTTCCCCAGAGGTATTCACTGGCAATTACAGGCCCTTCATCCTGGAAGAGAAGTTTAACAAATAAGGAAGCAGCTCTTCAACAAACAGGGGTCCATTTCTTCAGGAACTACAAAAAACAACATGTCCAGGAGCATGCAAGCTTGTGAAGGACAGTATCGTCTGGATTTCCCATATCATAATATGGCTGAAAGTTTGGGAATTCTATGGAAATGCAGCCCACAAATTCAAGAGTGGCTGCACTTAGCTAGAGTTTATGTTTTGCAGGATTTACCTATCTGTAACCTAAAGCTCAAGGGAAGTTGCAGTGACAAGAGGTCCATTTCAGTCTCCCTGTTTAAAAGGAAAATGTGTTCGATCTGGATTTAAAGCAGAAACAGGCATTATTTTAAAGGTGTCTCTAGTAGGTTTGTCTTCCCCTCGCCTTCTAGAGTACGTGATGGCAGATGGCAACCTTTCCTTGAAAGCCTCCCTACATGAGATTTCCCTGCACCTCGTCTAGAGTAAAAATATTTTCAAAAGATCTAGCTGCTACACACACTTCTACAATGATGTCTGTTTTGACCCCGAGAGGCCACATTTGAGACTGCAAATTTTATAGTGCAGATGTAATATGCTTTGTCTCTCCTCCTAATCCTTGCATATTCCTAAGAAGTTGGTTCAAAAATAGACTCCTGTTCTCACCTTCTGCCATGCAATTTTCAATATTTTAATTATGTTTTTAGACAGTGTCAGGTGGGGATACTTTGGACTCGCAGATCTGAGGCTGAAGAGCAGGCTCCAACCCTGGCATGGCAAAGCTGCAACCTACTCCCAGCTGCACACAGGTGGCCCACGAAGAACCACACCAGCTGCCTCTCCGTGCTTGAGAGCACAACCTCGGAGAGGGTGGAAAGGAATATTCTGGTGGGCAGAAAGGGAAGGAGCCTGGGGAGGCCAGCATTTGAGGTATCCTGGGGCTTCCCCACTCCCTTTCCTCCGCCTCCAAAGTGCCGCCACTCCATGGCCAATGTCAGAAAGGCCCTTGCTGCTCTTCCTCCTCTGTCCTCAACCATCGTAGGCCGCTGAGTCCCAAGCCTTGTGGTCATCAGCACAGCACTGCACCCTTACCATGTGCAATGAATTTTATTAGAACTGTACTGTTACTTGTGTGCAAAACTGGCAGTTTCCCCCGATCTCATTTCTCTCTGGCCTAGAGAGACAGCAGCTCTCTGGGCCAGGATCTCCTGAAGCTACGAGCCAGAACTTGCCCTTCTTGCCAGTAGCCCTGTGATGTTCATGGCAGTGCACCATGGGAAAATCCCTCCCCCTGGCCACTCCCATCACAGCCCCAGGACCTGCCTCATCCGTCTCCTGACAACTCTTGCCAGGGATTAAGGGCAGGTATGGCATGTCTCCAGACAAGGGCTCATGCATATGATAATTGGCGGTATAACGGAGCTACTGAGTCCCAGTGTGATCAGGACTGTGGCCAGTGTAGCCTAGCCAATGGGCTATGACCACAGAATTGGCTTCCAGGCCCTTCCTGGATGAACACAAAGATGGCCCACCCAGCATTCACCTACATTTTAAAGAGGGGTGGGTGTCTCATTGGGCAACAGCTGGCTCTGTGAAGCAACAAAGATGCCAGGATTGTGAAACAGCACTTTGGAGAAAAGAAATGTTACACATATGATTCACACAACTGCAAAAGTAGGAGGAACGCAGAACCTGGTGGGAAATAAAAACCTGACTACATGGCTGTTCCTTGCCTCAATTTGCAGAAACCGGTGCATCCCATGCCCCCAACTCTCCTTCCACCATGAGATAATGAGATGTGTAGAGGACAGGTGTTCACATCGCCAGCTGCAGCTTGAAACGGTACAGAAGTTGTCTCCGGGGCAAGGGGCTGGACCCACTCTTCAGCCACACTATGGGTCCTGCAACTTTTCTTCCATGGTGGATGTGGGATCAGGTCCTACTCCAACTATCACCCGCCCATGTGGAGGTTTGAATAAGATTCTCTACCCTGCCATATTTTTGAAAAAAATACTACGCAGATGCTGGAATGAGATAAACAAGGAGTAAAACATTTATTGCAAAAGAAATAAGGGCTGGCTGAGTCTAAAAACATATTTCCTACTGGGCTTAGCAGTTGACTGGGCAGTGTTTCCTGACCCAAAGCCAAAACAAAGGCCATCCTTGTTGCTTTAGAAAACATTTGCAGCTCTTCTGCTTAGGGTCAAACGCAACATACCCATGGAAGCCACGTCCGTGTGTTCCTATGTCTGCCCCATTCACATATAAAACCAGCGGTGGGTGGAGGGTTGAAATTAATCCAAAGAGGTGTGTGGAGGAGAAGGAGGGCTGAGCCCGGGGCCTCCTTATCCCCTAGCAGTCCACTGCCTAACTTAGCTCACGGCTGCTATCAGCGCTGAGCCGAGCAAAGGAAAACAGCACGTGGGCAGCCAATTTCAAGGGAAGAATCTGACTCACTTCAGTTTGCTTCCCTTTTAATCTGAAAGTGAGACATACAAACCCACGATAGGTGAACAGGGCAGGCGCGAGATCAAACTGACGGGGCTTCCTCTGGCAGGCCGGCCAAATTTTCCGGATTTTTCAATTTCATGCTTGTCGGTTCCTTCAATTATTATGTCATTGGGCAGCCTATGTACATGCTGTCAATGAATGGGTGGATGAAACAGTTCGGCCCTCCATGCCAGATGTGCCAAAATGCATTCACAGCACGAGCTTAACGCAGAAGCATCCAAGGATAAAGGAACAAGTCGGACTAAACCGTATCTGCTGCACGTAATTAAGCAGACACCTATTGGTTTACTAGAGGAGACTCCTGAGAGTCCCTTGGATTGCAAAGAGACCAAACCAGTCAATCTTAAATAAATCAACCCTGACTGCTCTTCAGAAGGCCAGATCCTGAAGATGGAACTCAAATACTTTGGCCACCTAATGAGAAGGAAGGACTCCCTGGAGAAGAGCCTAATGCTGGGAACAATTGACGGGAAAAGAAGAAGGGGGCGGCAGAGGATGAGGTGGCTGGATGGAGTCCCTGGGGCAGTGGGTGTGGGCTTGAGTGGACTCCAGGGGACAGTGGAGGACAGGAGAGCCTGGAGGAATGTTGTCCATGGGGTCGCGATGGGTTGGACATGACTTTGCGACTAAACAACTGGTTTACTGGGGCAACCCACTTGGCACCTCCCCATGATATGAACTGTCTTGCAAAAGCAGCTTCCAAAGCTATTTTAACCACTCCGGCTCTCGTTCATCTGTGGCTGGGGGTTACCAGCAGTGCTTAACAGAAGGCCAACCCAAGGTGGCACCAAAGAAGAAAGGTGCATCAAGCCGGACTTTAACTCAAGAACATTGCTTTAAGCAACAAACTGATCCTAAGGACCACCTCGAGATACGCTGAACCCCTCCAATAAATTTTCAGACTCCCCTCTGAGTGTATTCCCAATGTACTCAGTGGGTTTCTTCAAATTCTGTGGTGAGCTCTTGAGCTGCAGCAGACCCCATTCCTGCTCCGGTCTAAGGAATGCAGACACCAACCTTGAGTTTGTGCTCCTTCCGGTTAACAATGACGGCTGTGATTTGCTGGTCCATGAAGATGAGAATCGTCACCAGCAGGGCGGGGATGGCAGCTGCCATGTAGACCCACCAGGGGTTCCCTCCAAAAGGTGGGATGAACCAGCCTCTGTGAGGGCTCGTTGGCTTCACACACAAAGAGAAGGAGATGCATATCAGAGAGACACGGCCCAAACAATCTCCACACCACTTGGAAGCATCCATGTCCACAAGGAAAAACCCAGGCTCTTCAAGGAAAAGAATCCCCAGCCAACAGGTGCTACTTCCCACTGTTTTTATTTACTATAGGAATTATAAACTGCTTTGCATCAACAAGTATCAGAGCAGTGAAGAGTAGCTTAAAACACAGCACACAAAAATTACAGGGGAAGCAAACAGATCACTCAAACAGTGGCTAGAATGTGCTCTTCGGTCCACAAATCTTTAGCGAAACAGACTGCCACAAACCCCATGCGCAAAAAAACACAGATGCATGTCTGACTGGAAGCAATGAGCCACCCCAAGCAAAGACCCCGCTCCTGGCCGTTCCCAGACAGATCTTCCATCCATGTGGAGCTTACCAGGGGTGACTCTTTTGAAGGCTTTGGGGAGTGCGCAGAATAAAAGGGAAAGCATGTTGTCTCCCTGTCGTGTCTTAGAGAAAGAGACAACAGCAGCAGGGGAGAGGGGCTTGCAAAGGTAGGTTGGGGTGAAGCCCAGAAGAGAAGCACAGCACAAAGAACCATGGAAGAACTTGGCCATGCCATTCGCGGCCTTTGGCTAACAAGCACTTTTGTTGGCCCCTGTGTAATCCTAGAAGGCAGCTGCCGTTTCCACATCCGTGCCCCACTGCAGAACTGGCATCAGTCACAGGGAACAATTCACATGAGCTGCCAGACCATGTGGCTCCCAGCGCCAAGCATGGCTGCCACGTCATGGGGGCTAGACCCCTGAGGAGAAGCAGCTGCACTACACAACTCTGGAATGAACTGTGCTTCCATCCATGGCACACCCTCATTTTAAAGACACATCCTTCGACTTACCTTGAATTCACTTGGCACAATGAGTTTCGGCGTGTCCACACCCACCAGGGCATCAATTCCGCAGAAAATCAGGATGGAGAGGATGATGGCAAAGTCACTGATCAGCTTCCTTGCCTGAAAGAGACAGGCTGCCGTGACGTAATCTAGCATGAGCAACTCCCCGTGTGTGTTTGGTGGCCATTGAAAGATGCACAAAAACCTTAAAATATGTATCTAAGGGCTGCACAGAGAAGCCACAGCCCTGAAAATAACAGGGCTTGAGCCAGCGAGGTTCAGCAACCAGGGGCCCCAGTGCCAGGCCTGTCCTCCTGAAGCTGGTGCTGGCAGTCCAATCTGGTGGATGAGGAGCAAGCCTGAGGCCTGCCTCTCCACCTGCTCCCCCATGTGCCTCTCGCATAAAATGGGCTTTTCCCATTCCCTACAGCACAGCCAGCTCTGGTGGGCAGCATAACTTGTGACAGCCTGAAGAAGGTAGGATTTTAAAGGAAGCAGGGAAAAGTGACGGAAAGAGAGCAATGAACAAAGTCTCTTGCATGCCTGAATGCATCCCTGCTGCCTTAAATGACCTCAGAGCTCAGCTCAATGCACACACCAAGCCTCATGCAAAAACAGAACTTTGCTGGGCGGGAAACCCAGTCTTTTGGGGCTGGTGGCTAATGCTGCAAGGAGCAGTAAGAGTCCTTTTTCAAAGCATGCAAATGTCCATCAAAAATGGGCAGGTCACTGTGAAAATGCCTATCACACCCCAGCCTTGATTTTGACCACGGATCCTAGCCTGTTTTTCTGCCCCTCTGTTCCAAGGCTTTACTAAGGCTTTTAGGAAAGGTGTCAGAAATGGAAGCAAGTGAGTAGACCTGCACACCAGACAGATGAAGGAAGCATCTATCTGCACATGGAATTCAAAAGTGGGGACTTTACTTCAAGCAAAGTACACACCCATGTCTTACAGTTCCATATGCCATGCGACATACGCTGTGTGAGGTGGAGCTCAGGAGTGGAACAAATTTTCCTTTTACTAAAAAACAGCAGAAGCCCTGCTTTAGCACACCGGCACTGCAAACTGATTGGATGCCAGAGACAGCTTGGAAGAGGGCCTTAAAAGAACCAGTCATGCCACATTTTGAAACCTGAACCAGAAAGAAACCCTCTCCAGTTTGCCTGGAAGCAATTGCATCGCCCGCCATTTTACATACATTCCGAAGAATTTTAATTCTTGTAATTTTACTTGCCCTCCCAGCGCTTTGACATTTATGACAGTTTCTTCAACCCAGGTTGGGAGCAGATGCTGGTTATGTTACACCAATACCAGCACACAGGAGATTCGACATATGTGAATGCATAGCTTGCCAATGGATTCATTCGTGCTAATGTAAGAATATGAAAGCATTGCCAAGAAGCCTTGTTAGAAAAGACCCTCAGTTTTAAGCAAAAGCATGTACAAACCCTTAAAAAGGCAGGGTGCAATGAAAAACAACCTTGCTGAACCCAAACACCAAGGGGTTTTTTATCCTCTGTCCAATATGCAACACATTTTACAGTTTTTGTCTTCTCAGCAATCACAAGCATCTGATTTAGCACTGCCAGGGCTCAGTGGCCCAGAATCTGCTTGGAGTGCAGGTCTCCGTTGCAGTCCCAGGTAGGGCTCAAAAATCCCTGCCTGAAAACTGGAGAGCCACTGACCAGTCAGGAATCTGCAGAGGAATCCATTGGACTCCCTGGGCTCAGCTCCTTGGACTCCTGCCCACTTTGTCACAGCCCAGAGTCAGAGATACTGGCGAGTGTGCCAGGCATGTGTGGGCCCCTCGCCAACAACGAAGCCTACACACTGCACAAGCAGCACCCCTCTTCTGCGGCAGAAGGAGGTCGTCTGTATGGGGCACGTGACCCATGGAGCACGTGTAACAGCCCTCCTTTGAGGCTGCTTCCCTCTGACATGGAAGAAGGTTTTTGTTCCACAAGCACCGACCTCTTCTCAGCTCGCTTGCCAAGCTCAGGCCAAGCACAAGAGGAAGTCCACAAATTCTAGAAGGAAGGATTCTGCTGCATTTCCTCCCAATGCTACTAAAAAGCACAGACCCAACAATAGACTGGATGGACCAGTGGTTTTCAAACCCGGTCCATGGACAGGCACTGGTCTGCAGGGGCGTTCCTGCTGCTGCATGGGGAGGCTGCATCCTGTTCCCTGCTGCCCGGTGCAGGAGCCGGCTGTGCTCCACCACCTCTTCCTCAGTTGGCATCACATTCATGGAGGGTGCACTGATGCTGCCAGCGGGGCAGGGAGGGGAGAGGCAGCTTGATGGGAGCCACTCTGCACCGATTTCAGTATCGTGTTCTTTTTTGTTGCTCATTTTCTGGTTGCTTTGGAGAGTTTTCATTTTCTTGGTACTGTCTTTGGAAACTAATGCACAGAATACTGTGTGGGGCTTTTTGTTTCTGACTCAGCAGTGCTCGAGGTGGTTTTCCTCGAGGAGCTGTGGAAAGGGTGCAAATTTCTGATATAGACCAATGGTCTGATTCGGTGTGCCTATGTAGTCATTATCAACGCATCTACAGATGATAACAGGCAGTGCCCATCGCCTCTGAAGTGCACAGAAATGCAACCTCATTTCTCTGTGTCTGTGCTTCTCCCCACTAGAGTCCACTCTCTCTAAGTTCTAGAGGCACAACAGATGGATTCTTGGCCTACAGGAGTTACTAGGGTGTGAAACGGCCACAAAGCATTGGCATTCATGGGTGATGTTCTTACGTATCAGTGATAGCTGCAGAGCGGTTCTGCTTCTCTTCCAAGTCCTCCTTCTGCCTTCCAAGACATGACAGCCTTCCCACACTGCAGCTTTACAAGGGGGTTACACGAATTCTGAGAGGATGATGGATTGGTCCATAGGGCAGCCACATGGAACCAGCACCCCAGAGGCGATTTCTGGAGAACTGGAGATGCTCCTGTCTCCGAGTCCAGTTAGCAGCCATCCCCAGGGGGATCATGCCAGCCATACCAACCATCAGGACAGGGTAGACCAGCGATCCTTTCCAAACTAATATGATCCTTTACTTAGGGAGAGGTTTCAGATTACAAAGCAGCAAACCCAGCTTGCTGGGAGGATGAATTTGGCAAAGGGGTGCAGCCAGCCCAAAGACCCTGCCATCTGCATTGGAATGGCATGGACACTTGGAGCGTGTGTCCTCAGCCAAGACTGGAACAGAGAATAAGATGCGCCCAGAGATGGAGCAGAGAGATAAGCCCTCACTCTGGTCCTCTCCAAAGCTCCACCTACTTGCAGCCAGCTGGGTGAAGCTACCCAGATGCAACCAAGGAGATGGGCTGCAGCTACCAACTCACCCATCCTCCCATTCTAAGTCGATGATTTCTTGTGGCAGCGGTTCTTTTTTGCTGTTTCGTTACTGCATTGGGTTTTACTATACAGTGCTTTAGTCTTGTCAGTCACCTTAGGAAGGTCCTCACTCTGAAATACAGCAAAGAATGCTGGAATGTACTGCATCAATAAAACTCCCTGCTCTTGCCAACGCCAGGCAGCAGAGAAGGCTCCAGCGATGAAATGGGACCAAGTTCATGGTTTAGAGCATACACCTAAAGTTTGTGTTCCGTGGAGTGGCCCTTGCTGTACTGCAATAATGGTCACATATGCAAATTAAATAAATTTAATTGTAATGCAAAGTACTTACAGTGGTTGGGAAGTAACGGCTGGTCTTGAATTTCTTCAAGGCCATGGAGCAGGTGTAGGTGCCCAGAAAGAGGATACAAGACATAAGGGTGATGTCAGGAACGTATTTGCAATTGTTGCCCAGGAGGTTCCCTCCATATTTCAAGCACTCCTTCTTGGTCAGAGATGGCCAGTCTATTGTGCCGTTGTGCTGTAAGACAAAGACAAAGATGGCCCCTGTTACTGGAAGCCCCTTGGGAGTTTTTCAATCAACCAGGGGTGTCCTAAAATTCAAGAGAACCCCCTCTTTCAAATAAGGGGGCAGATGGTGCTATTTCCCAAGAATCACATTTCCCTGAATGTTGGCAACTAATCTGTTTTCTCAAGTGGGTGTGAAGTTTTGTGCTGGGCTGTACATTCACTGGCCACTACAGGATTAGATTGGAGGTATAGAATCGGATTCTATACTTCTAGACTGCATCTAAAGGTATAACATCCGAAACATGTTCGAACGGAGGGTGCTACTTCACACTTTGCCAGCCCACTGGTCCACCTGACTCTGCCATCTACCGTGACTGCTCTCCCAAGGAACCTGGTGCCTTCCAGATATATTAAATTGCATCTCCCACCATCCCCAGCCAGCATGGTCAGTGGCCAGAAATCATGGAAACTGCAATTGAAAACTTCTGGAAGAGGCTGAGTTGGGAAAGGCAGAACCCACCCAACAATAATAATTATCTTCTGAACTGTGCTACCTAACTTCACCATTAAAAAAAAACAACCAACCTTAAGACATTGGGAATTGTGCCTGGAAGCTTTAGGGACTCAGCGGTACAGCACATACCACCCAAAATGCACAGGGGAAAGCACTTCCTGAAACCTGGAAAGCCACTGGTGGCACCAGCCAGTGTTCAGCAAAATGGTGCTTGACAAACCAAAGTTCTGCTCCTATATAAGGCAGCTTCCTCTGTAACATGAGGCCAAGTGCACCCCTGATCAGCTGGTCAGAGGGTCAACCATGTGATGTGGCTGCAGAAAGGGCAAATGCTACTTTAGGCTGCATTCAAAGAAGTATCACTCCCAAATCACAAATAGTACTTTACTCAGCACTGGTTAGGCCTCCTCTGGACTCCTGTGTCCAGTTCTGGACACCACAGTTTAAGAAAGATGCGAACAGGCTGGAAAGGGTTCAGAGGAGGGAAACCAGGATGTTCCAGGGACTGGAAACAAAGCCCCGTGAGGAGAGATTGAAAGAACTGGGCAAGTTGAGCCTGAGAGGAGAGATGATAGAACTCCTCACACAGAGGAGGGCCAGGGTTAGGGTTCTCGTCTCGATCATCCTGGCATGCAAAACATGGAACAACAGGCTCAAGTGACAGGAAGCCAGATTCTGGCTAGATATTGGGGGAAATGTCCTGACTCAGAGAGCTGTACGATAATGCAGCCCATGGCCTAGGGAGGCAGTGGAGGCATTCAAGATGCAACTGGACAGCCACCTGAGAAGGACGGTTTGACTTGGAGTCCTTCACTGAGCAGGGGGTTGGACTCCCTGGCCCCGTTCCAACTCTGCTATTCTATGATTCCATGATTCAGAAAGCATCAAGAGGCCACCTGTTTTATGTTGCAGCTTCTTCCTTCATTTACTCGAAGAAGCAGCCAAGCCAAAGCTCTGATCAAGATGAGGAAAAGGATGTTGTTGGGTGCTCCCTAGACACTCAGGTCCTGCGGGGATGTGGTCACTCGTTCTCATTCCCTGCAGCTCTGAAATACTGGGGAGTTTACTACACCCCTACCAATCCCCAAGGGGGCTTTAATTCATCCTTGGTAGAGTTTCAGGGCTTCATGAAAAGCTGAAATAGGTGTTCTGCTCTGAAGACTGGGGAATTGAAGGAAAGTGCATGTGCGTTTGTTTGTAGGTGTGTGTCTGAGTGTGTGTGTTGAAGAAGGGTTGAAACACTAGATGGCAACCTTCAAAAATGACACGGATGAACATGCTAGACCATCTGTGGAGTGCTGGGATGAATGAAAGCTAAAAGGCAAAGTGTGAGCAGAACCAAGCACACAAGAAGACTCTCCATGAGTTCTTTTTCCATTACAACAGACAAAAAAGCTGCACGCAGGAGCTTTTGCTCTTAGCCAAGCCACTCCAGTCCTAGCATACTTAGGACTAACAGTTTTTCCTGGAAAAAAATCCAGGCTGCTTCCACTGTCAAAAAATAAACAATGAAAAAGAGTAAAACAAAACAAACTGAAATGGTGCTGCCTTTACTCACTTAAAGCCAAATTATTGTGTTGTGCTTGGTGTTTTCTTTTTGTTTTTTAGAATTGCTACCCAAAAGATCAAGTACGTAAAACAGGGGCCAGTAGAAGTAAATACATTTCTTTTAGAAACTTATTTTATTTTATTTATATGCCATAGCAATACCTCTTGGCTCTCTTAGAAGCAATAGGTTTTCTCTTTCCCTTTAAAAGATGCACACTTAATTCTATTAGAGGGGATGCATGCCTCTTTAGTGAGCGAGTACGAAAAGTCAAGGGAGCCCTGCTATCCAGGGTCCTCATCCGTGCGTGCACCATTCAGCCAACTTCAGTCGCTGTGGGGAGCAAGAAGAAGGCTGCTTTGGGTGCTTGTTCTCCAGGACTGCTGGCTGGACTCGAGAGGAATCAGAATGTGAAGCAGAGCTAGGGGGAACCTGAGAACATGGGCCAAGCTGGGGCTCTGAGATGGGAGAAGCAGAGATGCTTCTCTCAAGGCCAGACTCCCCAGGTGGACAGGAGGTCCCTGGGAGCAACAAAGATGCACAGCTGGATGGAGGGAACTTGGAACAGGGGAGCATCTCAGACTCAGGTGAGGAGAGCACAGCTCTTGACCCCATAATGCTTCACCAGTAGAGGAAGATGGGCCGATTAGAGGATCGGCATGTGGGGAGGAGGCGTGCTCACTTTCAGAAGCCCCTCCTGAAGGGATGGGGCCCAGGCATGCTCATAAGGAGAGTTCCTGGAGGTGAATACTAGATTGGGTTCCACAAACCGCTTTGCACATCCCCAGAGATTCATTCTAGGTGCTTTTTGGTCAATAAAGAACACTCTGCAAGAAAAAAAGGTATGTGGGTTTTGAATGTGCAATGGAGGAACCCTGGCTCTTGATAGTTGCATTCCTTCTCTGATGATATAAGGCTACAATCCTATAATTTCTTACCTGTAAGTCTACTGGGACGCAATGGGATTGCTAAATAAAGATGCACAAGATTGCACTTTGTCATTTCTTTTCATTATTTGTTCGTTTAATTAATTCCATTTCTATGCCACCCCATAACCTGAAGGGTCTCTGGGTGGCTTACAATGCTAAAATCATTCATCGAATGCATTCTGAAATACATTTCTCTCCCTCTCCTTTTTCCTTCAGAGACGCAACAGTTGTTATATAATGGGTAATTGAACAATCATGTAGCATTAACATGGCAAATTCCATATAGGCTGAATGGAATAATACATTTCTAGAGCAAAATCTTGCAAGAATTAGTATTTAGGTTACCATGAGAATGCTGCAATCTGATATTCACTTGATGGGAAATTACGTTCCAGTGGACTAGCTCGGTGGAGCTTAGTTCTGAACAGATGTACACAGCACTGAGCTGTAACTAACTCTCCACTGTACACTGTCACTTGAAAACTATGTCCTATTTCTACTAACTAAAAGTTATTTCAACATAGGGATTAAAAAGAAAACTGGAATCTGCTTAGAACTTTGACATTTCAAAGGCCCACTTTTTCCATTAGCATCATTTACCATCTCAGCAGAGTTACTTGAAGACCAGTCGACTGATCCCACGGATGTATCATTGGATAACGAACCATTAACTGCAAAAAAGAAGAAAGCACAATGCAGTGTTTTGAATATACCATTTCAAAGGTAATCAGAAACAGTTGCTATTTAAAAAAAACACCTCATAGCTAAACAAGCTCTTACCCTAACCAAAAATAGAATCAAAACTTTCAGTTACGCTGCAAGGTATAAAAAGCTCAAATGTATATATTTTGAATTACTCCAAAGACACACAGAAGTTTCCAAAATGAGACAAAGTTTTAGTGTATAAACTGCATCTCTCATCATTTGCCTGCTATTCTGAGTGGAAAAAATATATAGAATTGCTCTGGATTATTTTGGTGCCTGTGTGACTAGAGGTCGGAACACTTATCAGTATTTCATTGCAAATTCATCATGAATACATCCTCATGTTATCCAGGAGATCAAAGTGCATTTTATCTGCATTACAAGATCAGGACTATTGGCTCTTTGTCATTCTATCCTTTTATTATATAGGGATAATAATTTGAAAGAAAAAAATGGTTAAGCTTGCAATTAAGAAGGAAAATAGACTCAGCGTTTTCCTTTTGTGTGTGTGGTAAAAAGAGCCTCCAACCAGGCAGGATTGCAGAAAAGACTGAAACATGTGTGCAGATTACAATGAAGGATAATAATCATGGTAAAAAAAAAAACCAAACACACTTGTTTTAAAATCCTTTATATATATACCCTTATGCCAGTCAAGATAATTCAAGGCCTCACTTTCATGTCTAGGAACCATCTACAAAATACAGAGTTCAAAAAATTTTGTTGGAGTCTGAAAAATCAAGAAGATTTCTAATTTCATAAAAATTTGAATAGTTACACACAAACGCACACCTACACCCCTACATAAATATATGGACCTTCTCCCTTTGAGTCTTTGGACTATGAGTACACATTGGAAGCAATTCTGTCTTTCATTTAATGGTATGATTTTTTTTACTATTTTATTTCAATATATTAGTAATAAACAGCTTCTTTTAAACAAGTCGATTTAATTATAATGTCCTGAGATTTTATATGATAAATATTACGAGCGCAATGAAATTGTGTTAAAAGTTTTCAGAAAAGGACAACGAAGTAAGTAAAGGGCAAAGACGATAAGAAAAGTGAAGGCAGTTAATCCGTTTACCCCTAGTAAAAAATTATTCCCAGGGAGAGGGCTATTGGACTGTCCACACAGGAAAAAAGCAGGTTGCTTACCTGTAACTGATGCTCTTCGAGTGGCCATCTGTGTATTCACACATATGGGTTGCTGCGCCTGCGCAGTGCCTCGGCCGGAAGATTAGAAAGCTAACGGTTTTTGGCGGGAAAACTCCGCTCCCCTCCCCCTTCGTGGCATAAATAGAGCCGAGTGTCCGCCATTTTACTCAGTCTTGAAGACCGCACGTTCGCCCCCCTCTAGAGGTTAAGAATAAAAGTAATGAGAAAACACAATTATATCCGAACGGTACCGATATGAATTATAGTATGGTACCGAGAACACTATCTAGTCAGAGATATAACCCAACGGTACCGATGCAATTTATAGTACGGTATTGAGAAAAACGAGATCCACTCACCGACACCGAGTGGGGCCGGCGGGTGGTTTGTGTGAATGCACAGATGGCCACTCGAAGAACATCAGTTACAGGTAAGCAACCTGCTTTTCTTCGTCGTGGCCTCTGTGCATCACACATATGGGTGATTCACAAGCTTACCACAGTCGGAGGAGGGAGGTGTCGTCAGCGAAGAACGGATGAGAGAACAGCTCTACCAAAAGAGCAGTCTTGTCTGGCACGTACATCAAGCCGATAGTGCTTGGCGAAAGTACATGGACCAGCTCCGCAGATGTCTTGCACCGAAACCCCTGCGGCAAAAGTGGACGAGGTCGCTACTGCTCGTGTAGAATGGCCACTCGGAAAGACAGATAAGTCTATTTTCGATAGCTGATAAGCCAGGACAATAGTCTGGACGATCCAATTAGAGAGCCTCTGAGATGATATCGGTGATCCCCTTTTATGCTCGGAGTATTTAACAAAAAGTCTATTAGTAGTACGAAAAGATTCAGTGCGGGATCTGTAAAAGGCCAAGCAACGGCGAACATCAAACGTGTGTAGAGCACATTATCGGGGTCAACGGCGATGGAAAGAATGCCGGCAGAACGATGTCCTGATTCAGGTGGAATGGTGTGGCCACCTTGGGTAAAAAGGAGAAATCCATCCGAAGGACGACTTTTTCCTTATGGAAGTTCAGAAATGGTGGGTCTATGCGGAGAGCACAAATTTCGCTAGCTCTCCATGCTGATGTAGCTGCTACGAGAAAGGCAGTTTTCCATGACACCAGGCATAAGTCCACAGTTGCTAAAGGCTCGAACGGTGATTTGGTAAGCGCTTGGAGCACTACGGAAAGACTCCACGTTGGCATGGTAGGGCGAATGTAAATTTTGTAGTCCCTTACTGAAACGCTGAACCAGCGGTTGAGAAAAGACTGATAATCCGTGGATAGTGCCACGATAATGGGATATAGCGGCTGCATAAACTTTGATGGATGATGGTTTAAGTCCCTCATGATGCAAATGCAAGAAAAATTGTAAAATATTGGTGACTGAAGCTGTTCCAGGGGAAAAGGAATGGCACTCTGCAAAAGAGGAGAATCTTCTCCATTTAGCCATATAGGAACGACGAGTGGACGGTCTCAATGCAGATTTGAGAATCGCCTGAATTTCTCTGTCCATAGGCATCGGTACCATGGCAGTTGCTGTCGAATCCGAAGTCGGGGCCGCATATACCGTCTGTTGAGTAAGGTCACCTGTAGGGTGAGGTGTCCCAGGTACCGACTCAGTGGCATGAATCAGGTGATCCGCCATGCCGTCAGCTTCAGAGAGAGTATATCCGGATGACAGAGTGCTCCTCCTTGTGTCAACACATGCGGAAGAGTTGGTAGATGAAGGAACGTTCTTCTGGACAGCAGCAAAAGAGTGGCAAACCATGGTTGTCTCGGCCACCACGGAGTCACTAGTATCCCCGTGGCCCTGTCCTGGGCTATTTTTGCAACCACTCTTGTCAGGAGTGGGATTGGGGGAAACGCATAAAAAGTCATGTTGCTCCAAGGGACCATAAGAGCATCCCCCATCGATCCCGGCCCGACGCCTGCTCTGGAACAGTATAGGGTACGCAGGCTGTTCTCTCGAGTGGTGAACAGGTCCACGTCTGGATAACCCCACAAGTGGAAGAGTTTCTAGCAAATTTGTTTGCCCAACTCCCATTTGTGGATTGTTGACATCTGTCTGCTTAATGTATCTGCTTCGACGTTGTCGGTTCCAGCCAGATGAACTGCCATAAGCACGATGTTCCTCGGTATGCACCAGTCCCAAATGTCCATTGATAGGCATGCTAAGGCTGGGGATTTTGTGCCCCCCTGCTTGTTGATGTAGAAAACTGCCGCTATGTTGTCTGATACAATTTGGACAACTTGACGGCATAACACAGTCTCGAAAGCCTTGAGGGCGTTGAAAATCGCCAGAAGTTCCAGAAAGTTGATGTTTCCTCGCCTCTCGTCGGTTCCAAGTACCTTAGACCCGAAGTCCCGAACATGCCACACCCCATCCAAGGAGGGATGCATCGGTGTACAGAGTTGTCGTTGGCCGAGGTGGTCGAAACAGAGCGCCGATCAACAGGTTGTCTGTGATGGTCCACCACATTAAAGTGTGAAGGATTGCAGATGGAATCCAAATCGGCTTGGTGGCAAGATCTTGTTGAGGTTGAAAAGCAGCGTTGAAAACAGCTGTATGGGTCGCATACGTAGTCTGGCATACGGGACAATGGCAATTGCAGCAGCCATATGCCCCAGTAGTCTCTGAACGGATAAGGCTGGGACCGTTCCATGTAGCTGAATCCGATGAATATGGCTACATAAGGCATTCTGACATTCCAGTGGGAGGAAGGCTTTTTCCTGCATCGAATCAAGTCGTGCCCCAATGAAATCCATGACCTGCGTGTGAATAAGGGACGATTTGTCGTGGTTAATACAGAGACCGAGAGCATCGAGTAGAGCACAGGTCATTTGTATATCAGACAGGAGAGCTTGCTCGGATTGCGAGACGATTAGCCAGTCGTCTAAGTATGGGTATATCTGTATTCCCCATGTCCTCAAGTGCGCGCATACCAGCGCCATACACTTCGTAAAGACTCGAGGGGCTGTGGCCAAGCCAAAAGGTAGGACGTTAAACTCGAACAGGTCGGATCCGACAGTAAAATGTAGAAAGCGTCTGTGTGAAGGATGGATGGAAATATGAAAATAAGCATCCTTTAAATCCAGTGAGGCGAACCAATCCCCTCTTTTCAATAACGGAAGGATATTTTGCAAAGTGGTCATCCGGAACTTCCTTGGTTTAATGTACTTATTAAGGGTTCGTAAGTCCAGGATCAAACAAAGACCACTGTCCCTTTTCGGGACCGTAAAATATCTGGAATAGAATCCATGCAATCCTTCCGAGTAGGACAACTGTCGAATCGCTCCCTTGAGAAGTAGCTGGGAGACCTCATCGCGTAGCACCAATGAAGAAGGTGTGGAGCGGATCAGGCTCGAAGGAGGGATAGCATCGAATTCTATCCTATATCCGAACTGGATGATAGATAACACCCACCTATCAGATGTAATGGACTCCCAAATGGGGAGTCGGCCCTGGAGCCGGTTCCCAAAAGGGAGAAGGGACGGTGGTGTTGGGAAAGAGAGGATGGTTCGTCCAAGCCATCAACGTGGGCGTTTATCGGTATTGAATCACCAACAGCCTTGGGAAAAACGCTGTTGTGTTTGCTGTCTCCGATGCTGCCGTTGTTGATATTGCTGGCGAGGGTAGTTTTGCTGGCGCAGATAGTATGGTTGGTTCCGGTAGGAAGACCGAGGCCACTGCCACTTACATTTTTGCAGGAGCTCCATGCGGCGTGCAGTTAGGCGTGATTCGTGAATTGCCTTTAATTTGTGGTCGGTCTTCTGGTGGAATAGACCAATACCGTCAAATGGCATTTCC